GGAAGTAAGTTGTTCTAACGTTGAACAGTCGCTGCTTTGAAAACAGTTCCACCGTAGCTCAGTGGTTTTAGAGCATTGCTGGCCTATAGTGAAGGACCCTGGTTCGAGTCTGGTAGTGATAGCCAATTTTTTAAGAAACGTTTGGTGTATATGAGTGGCATACTGTAGCTCAGTTGCTCGCGAATAGCAATGTCCCTGCTTTGAGTCCCGGTGGTGTGACTGATGATTATTTTCTTCTCAGTTTCCTTCGTATCTGGCTTTCAGGTGTTGAGTTTCGTAGAGAAAAGAGCAGTGCGATGCATGTGGCCTCTAATTTCCTAACATTTGGTGGATTTAAATCAACACTTCCGAGCACGCCAACTTCAGCTGAACACTATCTACTAGTAGGTATGCCCAGCGGCATATCACACCTCCCATACTTACATGCTGCAACGCATCGGTGAATATACCGTCTACCAGTTCAGAAACCGCTCGCCCACGCAGCTTTGTCGGATAGTCACCCATGTACTTCATTAGGTCTGTAGACACATGCACACATGTACACACACACGCGCGCGCACGCGTGCACACACACACATACACATACACACACACGCACACACACACACGCACACACGCACACACACGCACACACACACACACACACACACACACACACACACACACACACACACATACACACAATCAGAAGCAGAAAAACACTCAATTGGAGGTACAGTGGTCCCTCTTATATTCCGGCACCATTTGTGCCACGAAAATCTGCTGGATTAGGGAGGGTGCTGGATTAACAAATCTGATTTACTGCTGCAATGTGCATGAAGAGGACATTTTGGCTACTGAAAATTGTGCTGGTTTATCGAGGGTGCTGGATTATAAAGTGCCGGATTAGAGAGGGACGACTGTAGTAGTGAACTCAACCGCCAAATGGGGAGGCTCTTTGATCTTTGTGGTTGTACACCGAACTGTGAGCGTCAACCAGTGATTAGGTGTCAGGGATCAATTGATAGTACGCTCATCACAAGCAAGATAATTGCCATCTTAGCATCACCGTTTTTCTTCCCCTTTCTTTTTCGTAAATCATTTGGTTCATTTTATAAACACAATTCTTCCTGTTGGGTTTCAGGATTCAAGCAACTAAACAAAATGCTTGAGAGTGCATGGGATATGCATCAACCAATATGCATGGTCTGGAACTAGCAAGGTCTTTCGACAAACATCCAATACTGTCTGAGATGTGCCCAACACCAGTGTCAGCAAAGCTAGGCGAGTAGAGCTAAGTCGCCCCTAGTTTATGCAACACGGGGAGGACTGGGGCACCTGAGCCCGGAGGATTGGGGCACCTGAGCCCAGAGGGGGGGAGGGGCAGGATCCGGAGGGGGGCAGGATCCGGGGGGGGGCAGGATCCGGGGGCAGGATCCGGGGGCAGGAACCCGGGGGGGGGGGGGGGGGTAACTAGCGCGGCATACTACTTACTCAAGAATGAAGACTGTGCCTTCATTGACAGCTCTTCATTAGCTGCCACTCTGTTCAACAGTGCTCCCTTGATTGGCTCCTAGGCAATTGAACAAACACACACATACACACACACACGCCAAGAATGGAAATTGATAGATGCTCCACCTTTCTAGCAATTGGAATGTGCCATGTGTCCGACAGTACTTGTCGGCATGATAGCAGGCAGGTTGCTGACCCATGCTAGATAGTCAATGATCTGTTTGGCTGCTTACCAACATCACACGATTCACTTCAGATTGCTTTTGCTTTTGTCTGTACACTCGTTTGAGTTTCCCTATTGCGTTTTAGTGTTTTCGTTAGTACATTGTAACTATGACCGTAAATGACCCGGGTGCATAGAAAGCAATTGGGAATGTGCTGACCGCCAGCCATCCATGTGGATATACAGCACTGCGCTGTAAAGCATGGACACACTTACTCGGGTGAATCCCCATGGCAGGTTGGTGTCTTTCCGCTTGAGAGCGCTCTTGGAAAGCGACTTGGTCATCTTCTTCTGCTGCGTGCGGAAGTGCAGCGTGCTGTACTGCTCCAGGGTGTACACCTGGCTGGGGTCCATTTTGACATCCTCGTCTTCCGGCGATGCGGCCATGGTCATCTTCTGCTGAGCATCGGCACTTTGCTCGGAGAACAGAGCCTGAGCCACACAAGCACACACACACACAAGCACACACACACACACACACACACACACACACACACACACACACACACAGGTTGTAGAGAGGAGAAGGTGTCCGGCAAGTTTTCTTCCGGTGGTGCTCACACATCGGCGATGCTATTGACATTCGCGTTGGGTACATGCTGTGTTACATTATTGCCGAAATGTACTGCTGAGCCGAATACAGCCGCGTACAAGATGCATGCATGATGCAGGGGAAGTGAACAGCATTCACTGGACATTTGAATACAATGCGTGACACAATGCAATAAACATGGAGAAAACACCCGGTGCTGCTGCATGTGTCGCATACCAGTACGTCGGGCGGTGGCTTGGTAATGGCGGGCAGGATGTACACGCACTCGGCGGGGAAGTCGCCGCGCTGGTTAGTGCGAGCACACAGACCCGAGCACCAGCCGCTGTTCATGACTGTCTCCCCATCATCATCGTTCTCCAGGGAAATCAAGTCACCCTTCTTGAAGCTCAGGAATGATGACCCTTCACCTGTGCAGACAAAGGAGCACAGCAAGCGCCACATGCATTAGTATAACAATGTGTGAAGAATGATAACTGCTAATCTACAGATAGGAGCCAAGGAGGAGCTGATTTTGATTTCGGATGGACATACAACGCACATACCAGACACACAAACTCGTAGGCACCGAGCCATTCTGAACTCTGCTGTTGCTTTGCGCAATTCATCCTGTTGTGGCCAGTTCAGCACATCACATACCACCCTTGTAATGTGCTGTGGTGACATGCAGTTCAGCAGCGCATGACATACCGGGGCTGGTGTAGTCCAACATGGCCACAACAAACTTGGAGCGCTTGCGAAGACCTTCCAGGAAGTGCGTGACCAGCTGGTGGATGTCTTCACCATTGGCTGACGTAAACGTGTACTCATCACCCTTCACTGTTGTCAATGAGAAGCTCTGGCCTTGGCTCTTGCCAGTCCTGATAAACAAATGAGGGACAAAAGGAGAGTCGGAGATGAGAACATTTCTTCAAAGGGGAATAACTCAACCGCTTGGGTGCATGGGCAGAAAGCACTGTGATTGCATGTATGTATTGTGTATGCCATGCTGGAGGATGTTCAGTCTGATTTTTCTGTCCTTGTTTCATCCCGATGTTGGGAATGAGGAAAATCCGCGAGAGGATAAGAACTCTATTGAAGTATTAAGTGGACCATACTTCCATGTATGTACTCGTACATTCTACGTGCACATAAATAGGCTACCTATGACATAGCCGGTTTGTCATGCCACCCACCTGCTGCTAGAGACGCTACTGAGTTCGGAGAAGGAGCACTCCAGCAAGACGTGCTCGTTCTCGTCCACTATATACACGCCGGTCCAATTGACGGCGATGATCACGTCGTTGGTCGGCAGCGTGGGACCGCTGAAGCGATACGCCTCGTAGAACCGCGAGAAGAGCAGTGGCCACTTGTTCTTGGCGAACATGACGACGTCTTCCTTGACGTACTGCGGGTTGATCTTCTGCTGTGTATAGTACGCCTGTTTGGACAGAGAGACAGAGCAAAGTAGCCGCACAGTTGTAATGTTTGTCACTGCCAGCGGCTCGTCACTGACATCATTATGACCCAACACAGAGCATATGGTGGGTAGCAGCCGGTGAAACAGTTTTGTTTAAACAGAGCTACACTGTCCATGGCTGGAATTTCTTTTCTCGGGTGAATTCTTACCAAGTTGCAAACATGCATGTACGTGTATGGGCAATATACCATTCACAACTTTTCTCTTTTTTTCTTTTTTCTTTTCTTTTCCTTTTTCACTTATCCCGTTATCGGCCCTCTTAAGAGTTGTGTATATCACTGTTGAGGCATCCGATGGTGTTAAGATAAAATGCTACTACTACTACTACTACTACTACTACTACTGCAGTGGAGCAGCCGCTCACCTTCTTGAAACATTGAGCTATAAGTGCAGCCCACTTGTCTAGAGTAGCACCGGATGCCTGAAGAGCGACGTCAGGAATGCAGAAGGGAATGAACTCGACCAGCTTCTGCATGTCCAGGTCCAAGCCGTTGGCGACGTAGTATTGCTGCGCTACAAGTGATGCAAGCTCCTCGTTCTACCAGACAGACACACAACACATAAATCATACACATTGGCTAGTGCAATGATGCACCAGTACTACATTAATACTGCAAGATACAATTCACACTACAAGCATAGTACTGGCCCAATACCTGTAATCCCAACCCAAGGCCTATGTGTTCCGTTTCACAACCAAATCATTTATTTTTTAAACATTAACGAGGAATATCAGCGTGGAGAAATGGTGGTAAAACACGCCTGTCACATACAAGTTACAACGCTCTCTAAGCTGCAAAGTTCTGGCAGAGAGCATTCTTTCTTGCACCACGATCATCAGTCTGCGCATGGGGACCAATTGATGCATGGCTGGTGATATCAGCATAGGTGACTGCACAGTACAGCAGGAATAGCATGTTTCACAGCTTTCTTCATATATGGAACTATACAGCATTGGTTTCGTGACCAAGAGATTGCAGGATTTGCTTTTGTCCTGTTTATTTGCATTTAAACAACCTTTCAATCTTGAACTACTTCCCGTGCACCGGAAGCCTAACACACTCACCTTGTCACAGCGGTATTCTCCAAACTTCACGCCGCGAATGATCTGCTGATATATAAGGTCAGTTCCTTTCTCGTCCTCGCGCGGATCGTGCCACGGACTGAAGATCTCCTTGCGGAAGAACAGCCTCCACGGTGGATTATGCTCAGGAACGTTCATTTCCTTGGCGTACTGCTCGCACTGGGAAATGGCATCCATCACGTGATCAGAGCTGCTACCCAAGCTGCTCACCTGCCGATGAACAGATACAAATAGAACCAGTACATACATTGGCAATTCTCCACCGCGGCTGTCATCGAGCCCAAACTGCATGGACTATGCGAGGGGTATCGGACACGCTACGGTCCCTATGGCATTGACCAGATCACTTTTCGCCCCGGGTACCGGAACCCCGTGAAATTATGACTATAATGTGTCTGTATGATTACACAAATATTCAGGGAGGGCCCGTGGACACTCCGCTAAAGGTGCACCTCTGACCGGTGACCATATCACGCAAGGATACCTCCCAACGCCCCTGTACGAGGAAGCACGGGTACTATTCTAACGACAATGAATACATGCACAGCACAAGAAAGCGGCAGTACCGACTGACCTTGTCAAAGAGAGCAATGTAGAGGGAATAGCCGAACGTATCGCCCAGCTCGATCTTCTTTGTGAGCTGCTCGCATAACTCGCCAGCCGTTGTCGCCGAGTCAGCAAGGAGAGTCTTCGTGTTTCCGTCCATGAATGTAATGGGAAGCATCAAGGGTTTCTTGGAGCGATTTGCCTAGCAGAGAAATACACCAGTAGCAACAAGAGAATGACCGGATGTACTCGAGGGGAGTCGCAGCAGCTATGATCGAATAGATGGGGTGCATAGCGAAGTGTTTTTTTTCTCTTTTTGTTGCATTTCTGTTGCATTTTTCAGCCATTTCTGAGTGAAGTGGAGGTGTGTGAAGACGCCAGTCTACAGGTGAAATGCATCATCATCAGCGTCATACAAGAGTGAAGTTCGCCGTAGCCTCGCTTCACCTCTGCTTCCTGCAATACTGCCCAGCAATTTAAGCTTGCCTCCATCCCCTACACCTTGCAATGAATGCTCTGTCTGACTTTTCCCGTCCACACACCACGTCATTTACTCTTCTCTGCGTGCTTGTGCGCTTATGAACTCTTTGTGTTCCCTCTGTTGACGCTTCAAAATCGCTCTATTGTCACTGCAAAATCGCTCTGTTGACGCTGCAAAATTGCTTATCATCTCCCTCCCTCCCTCCCCCCCCCCCCCCCCTCTCTCTCTCTCTCTCTCCCCGTAGCTCTCTCCCTTTTGAAATTTGCTTCCATAGAATTGGGCACCATTGCCCGTTTGGCCTTGCGAAGCAAAATAAAAATCAACAACAACAACAATACTGGGAAAACTGCATACGCATTGCACTTGGCAAAATTCACTGTGACATAGCCAGAGAACAGCTGCTAGGTTGCACCGATCAGCAGGTCACAGCCAGTAACCATAGAATACAGAGCAAGTGAAGTAACTCTGGCAAATCTTCTATCAGTGGCTTCAACTTTACCTGCAGCTCCAGGAAGCTGGGTGGCTGAAGACGGGTGCCATTCTGCAAGCAGCGCACGAGTCTCTCGCGACAGTACGGTGCGTAGCCTGGCGGGCCGTCATCAATGAACTTCTTCAGGTACTTGAAGAACTGAGGAACACACGTGCACACACACACACACACAAAAAGCAATGACTCCACAGTCAGGATATGATTTTGGCAGCTCCTGAAGTTGTAACATGTGAACATACATGGAAGCAATACAGCACACAATGCCATAGCTGCCTGCTACAATAGCTGAGAACTGAGCAGTGGTGGGCATGATTTAGTCCGGTCAACAGTGAATGCACCCTCACAATGCAGATATAGGCACTGAATGCCGTACAGCCCCAGGACACCAAGCATGTCCCTGTGCATTCGAACCAGGGTCAGCACTACTCATGGGTCCTACTAAATGTGTTACTAATGATCCCTGCACATTATTTATGCCCGGCACACAACTCAGCTCAGTTCTTCGTGATCTACCTTTGGTGATGGCGTGAAGCAGCCAACGCACAGCGACATCAAGATCCAGCCACGGGCGTGCGACGTCTTAGATGGGTTCTGGGTCAGCTGTTTGCAAATCTGGCAGTAGATCTCGTCCCTGTGATAGAGCACGGCAAGAGGTTTCAAGTCAACATACTCGCAGCACGGTGAAGTATGTGCACAGTGTTCACAGCACAGTGTTCACAGCACAGTGTTCACATCACAGTGATCACAGCACAGTGTTCACAGCACAGTGATCACAGCACAGTGATCACAGCACAGTGATCACAGCACAGTGATCACAGCACAGTGATCACAGCACAGTGTTCACATCACAGTGTTCACAGCACAGTGATCACAGCACAGTGTTCACATCACAGTGTTCACTCCATGGTGCACAAACAGCGTTTTGCTGATTGAGCAAACAAGCAAACCAAATTGGAAGAAGACATGTTGGGCTAGTGCCAACAATGACAACCAGTCGGCAATGACAGCGGGAAGAAATGTCAGCAAGCGTAGATTACTCAAATGTGTCACCACAAGTCCGAATTTCCCCCTCCTCCCATAATACAGCTTAGTGCGGACGAACATCTCCACGTAGGACTATATCGGTTAAAATTTGAGAGCAAGTAGAATAACCCAACCTGACAAAAAAGTTAAAATATAATGTGAGAACACCAAAGGGACGTGCTCTGTACCTGAGGTCCTGCCGTAGAATGCCGTGCCCGATGATGAAGTGCAGCTTCTCCAGGTTGGAGGTGGGTCGCTGTAGCAGTGGAATGGACGCTGTCGGGTCAGAGCCAGGTACGTGCTCTGCATCATCGCTCTCCTTCAGCTGGCCAGCAACATCCTGTAATCATGGTGTGTGCGAGGGAGTAGATGGTTATGACACTATGGTGCACTTTTCGGAGTTGATACTGAATAGAGGAGACCTCACAGCCTAATAAGTTTTCAAAGAATACTGACAGTGGATCAAAGTAATAGAACACATGACTCCACTCGGCCTCGTACAATACTTCAACATGAATATTAGTGAAAGTCAACAGACAGCCAACTCACCTGGATGATCTTGCTCTTCTTCCTCAAGGTCATGGACGCAATATGCTTGCGAATCTTCTTCTTTTCCTTCTCGGTCAGATTATCATTCTATCAGAAACAAGTGGAGTGCGAAACACACAAGAAGGGGAGGAATGTTAATGCCATGCAGAAGTCGCATATCAGTTAAAGGACAACGTGTAGCTCGGCTAGAGGCAGGCATACTGTGTGATCAGTTCTATTTTAACCCTTTATGGACGGATTACTAGCACAGTATGCATCAGAATTACAAAATGTCAGAACAATTTTCATTTTCTCCATGTCATAACTTTGGTGTCCTTCACTTGATTGTCACAATCAAGGGCTCATTGGAAAGCTCTTGGCGAGAGCAACGCCAGGGTACCAATCTCCATTATCCAGCCGCCACAAATCAGGCGCGGTAACACAGCAAAGTCGTCTCCAAGCCTGATATGCAAGCAAATTCGTCCCATCAACGCCATTCCACTCTCCTTCATCGCAGAACGCTCAAATTTGTTTGAGACGATTCAAACTTCAGCCGGCTACGTCATTATCTTGTGCTCAGTCGCTCAAACAAAGTCAAAGAGCACACGAAAAGGGATTTTCCCCCAAAATGGCGAAATGATCGATCAAAAATTTGAATTTGCCAAGGTAAGAATACGGCGTGCGATATCTCTGGTGTCCGACATCGTAACTCTCCGGCAATTGTTGCATTGGGCAGCTTGGAGTTTCCGCTATCACGTAGACCCTTTGGTTGTGGAATTTGCTCAAGAAACGATGGAGTTACGAAGATTTTACCGCCTGCAGACTTTCGATCTTATTAGATCGAAACTCGTACAGTCCGTCCACAAAGGGTTTTAAAAGTGAAACATCATGATGTCTTGATTGACACATCGTGTGCCTCTACACATTTCCAGGAACACATACATACATACATGTACATGTATGCTACACAAACAACTCATTAGCCCACATCCCACATGCATATGCATATGCAACACCACTATGAAGCACACAAACACAGAGGACACAGGGTTTGGAGCTGCGCCGGGGTGCTGACTGCAAGTGAGGCAATGGGGCATATATACATGTAAACAACTCACTATGACGTACACCAAATTCACGCGGCCTGACATTGCCTCCCAATGCTCCTCACCTCTAGTCTTTGCTGAAGGGTTTGTATTTTCTTTTCCTCGTTTGGTGTCAACTCGGCTCCTGGCTCCGCGCCTTCCTTCAGCTCTTCTGCGAGCTTGCTCTTGCTGAACTTGCGTCCAAGAGTTCCTTTCAGCGTCTTCACCAAGCCGTCAGTCTGAAAATTGCGCAGCACAGCACCCACAACAGGGCCAGGCACAGGCAAACACATGCATGCTCTGAATCTAAGAACTTTGTTGTAGGAAATGCTACACACACACAAGTAAAATATAGTACAGATCTAGCATAACTAGTTGTGTCATCGAGCTTAGAACTTCGTCCGTTACATGTTCCAAGGGGGTGGGGGATCATTGATTACTCTATCTCATGGGATTGATTTGCGCCTTGGTTCATGGATGACCACAGTATAGCAATGTACCATCCTGAGCAAGAGGAAGAGTGCGTTGGTGCTTACCTTCTCTTTCTCGGCTGCTGGTTGAGTTTGAGCACGATACTTGGGCTCTGGCATGTCGCCCATGAAGCGTAGAATGCAGATCCATACTGCAAGGGCGGCCTGCACAACACACACACACACACACACACACACACATATAACAATATTCCTAAGTGGGAGCACAACATGTCATGACAATCGACCTCCGGTGTCCGCATGTGCCGTTCACCCCACCTTGGCTTGGAAACTTGAAGGGAGAATCTCACCAATGTTTTTCAGTGACATATACACATTTTACCTTCAAATTACATTTACTGCAGTCTGTTGGGACCCAGCATGCGGTAAGTATTGCACCAAGATGCATTGAGGGGTCTAGACAGAGGAGAGGAGCCCGAGGTGCATCAAATTTGCAAGATTCTCTGAAATTGTTCAGGCAGTGCAAGACCCCCAAACACACGGGCGTTTAGAGGCACGGTTTCCAAAGCATAAAGCCCCGCTTATGCCAAACCTGCAGTGAATGTGTCTGGTGAGTACACCAGTACCAACCTTGTGCTCCATGTCACCCAGTCCCTGCAGCAATGGCTGCTTCAGGTGGCGGCGGATGTGCGAGTCGGTGGCCTGGCCCTGGAAGTAGGTCTGCGCAAACTTGGGGTAGAGGAACTTGGACAGGTCCTCCACTTCCTCGGGTGCCTGGCAGAAAGAAATACACAGGAGTAACATGGGTAGCTATCTTTTAATGGGTATTGCACTAATCCATCTGTGCACAAACTGGCAATATTGCACGTGTATGAGCAACTTGAAGACTCCATAGTGTCACCTCAATTCATCGCTCCTTCAAGAGAATACAATCAATGCCTGTAAGACGATTTCATCAATAGGTTTTAAGTTTTGACCCGTACCTTGGCAATTGGCTCCGGTGGTGGGCTGACCGATTCTTGTCTCTCTTCGTTTTCCGGCTGTCTGTTGACCAGATCCTACATGACAAGAAACACCAGCGTGAAAACATAATGAAAATAAAATACTCTAGGTCGCTGCTTCCTATTCGGAAAGGTCAACATATCTCTCTTTGACTTTCTTTCGAGGAGTTTTGTTTTCTGAAAAAGTGGCCTATTTGCTTCTTCCTAAAAACGAGTGTATCCTCAGAACTGCTCGAAGCTCCACAGCCTAATCCAATGGTTGGGGTTGATTAGGCCAGAAGAGCTGAAAATATTCCCCGCAGAATTACCTTCCATATAAAGTTCCCTTAGTAACTACAACAGAACCTACACATACCGCCAGGGAAGCCTATTTAGAAATCTCATTGCTATGATGATGATGTTAAGTGAATGGTGAAGCAGACAGGAATCGCTTATTGCAATACTTCAACTCATTCCTTCTAAGATGCTTGTCAAAAAGTTGACGAGGACAATCCCCCCCCCCCCCCCCCCAAGAGTGATATAAGGAACTGAAATTCGATACAGAAATACTAGTGGAAAGTTCAGAGGCAAGAAGAAGAAGAAGCTTGTAGCAAACAGGATACACGTCATTAACTTGCAACGAGGACCAAAACACCAGTACACTGTCCCGTGAAATCTTCCGAAGGCTCAAGCCTCCCCGGCCGGCATGATGGCCATCACACAAAGGTGGACTCCTCGCCCAAGATTGTATGGCTTGACATGTTACCACTTGTTCCAGGTTCAAGTAGTCATCTTGACCAGGTGTCGACCTTATCAGAGTACTCTCCTCACTTAACAGGTTACATTAACCCTTTATGTACCGCGACCATCTCGAACCGTAAACATATTTACGGTTCGGCGCGCCGCACTTGGACACGCCGTTCGGCGGCGTCCTTTCTCTGATTCACTCGCGGTTTTTTGCAGTGGACAGCTGCGATCCCACTGAAAATTTTGATGTATGATATGGGTAGGTCGCCATTTGAAAGTATGGAGACCGATCGCGGCGAAAAGTGCGCTTCGCAAATGCAGCGCTCTGCGATATATTTTGCCAATTTCGATCGTGTTTTCGTTCCGTCACGCTGCTGCTAATAGAGATATAGCCTTCTCCAGCTAGTGTCGACATCCTATAGTCGTGGTAGACACCTGGAGAGAGCTGAAGTAGCGATATCTCCTCAGGATCTGAATCGAAACTGCCAATTTTCATCGCTGAAGCCATCACAGCATTCGCTCTCCAAGTAGCAGCGAGAGGGAGGGCAGCGATGGCATAAAATCACCACGGCAGGCGGAGGTCATCCCCTAGTACCTATTTCTTGTCTTCTCAATCACCAATCCTCGGTCGACGTGAGTAGATCAGCAAAAACTACATATCTCAAATCTGAAATAATTGCAATAATTTGAATATTTGACGCAATTGTTTGCGTCTGGTATTTAGACGATACATCCGTTTTCCGCCCCTTCTGGTGTTGTTTATGCATGCAACTAGTGCCTGTGGTATCCTTTTGTCACTGTGCGTCCCAATGGTCGTCCCTGATACGTCTATACTTTATTTCAAATGTAGCGATCTCAATTGTGAGAATTACGCACAATTGGCTCATAATTGGGTATTCCGTGTATGCCCTCTACTATTAGTTGCATGCTGGATTACAATAATGGACCCATTCATTACCATAGATTCAGAAAAACATAACTTGCACATACAAAATGCGTCTAGATTTTATCCTATAGGTCCATCATTGACGAGGAGTACCCTACGCATACATTAGATGCGCGGTACATAAAGGGTTAAAGATAAGTTCGTTAAAAAGAGATGTACTGATGTACTGATGTACTGTGACATTCACTGCATTGTAGGCTATGGTACAGTACTGTACCTTGAACGCCTCCGGTACTCCAGCATTGCTCGTGTCCTGTTCGCCCTCTGGCAAGAACTCAAACACTTCAGCAACCTGCAGTTCACACGCACGTGCACGCGCGCGCGCACACACACACACACACACACACACACACACACACACACACACACACACACACACACAAAAACAGCGAGAAAGAAGTCGATTCGTGCCCGAGGTCATGACTTTCAAGTTTTGCGCATGTCAAACTGTTGTGTCTCAACCTCAGAATCCGTCAAGGCAAAAAGACCATGCATTTCCTGCGCATGTACAATATGAATGATGACAATGAAGGGAGTCATAATATTACTAGGCATGGCACAAACCTACCATCTTGGTCTCATCCACTTCTTGCCTACGACGCTCTGCCTCCTTTTCAGCTTCCTCGGCCAGACGTTTCTTCTCCTCGGCCTCTTTCTTGAGACGCTCTTCTTCCGCCACGCGTTCGCGTTCCAGGCGAGCTAGCTCTTCCTGTAAGAACAGAAAGCAAGCCGCAACAAATAATCATCTTTTGTTCGTATTGGTGTGGTTGGCAGCGCAAACTTCTGGTCCTGTCATTGTGTTGAAAAACCTGGTGACTGGGGGCTTGGAGAACTAGCAGGCAAACCAGCAGACACTTGGAGAACTGCCAGCTTGGAGAACTACCAGCTTGGAGAACTAGCAGGCAAACCAGCAGACAGACCAATGGGTGTTTCACTAGCTTCTCGTAGCCACACTTCCAGGCAAGTGCGGAGCCAAACAGTAAAGGTGTACAATTATGTAGGGTTTGTTTAAAGTGCTATAGTGCGTAGTAGGAGTAAGTAAAATGAAATAGCTCTATCCGGCTCTGACCTGATGGTGGCGCTCTGCTTCGCTGCGTGCTGCCTCCGCCTCCATTTCCTGTCGCAGACGCTCTTCTTCCTCGCGCCTTAGTCTTTCTGCTTCTTCTCTGCGCTTTTTCTATAAAAGAGGACATACCGAAAAGTCAGAAGTATCAGAAGTGCGCCGGTCATTGGGACTAAAGTCCCACTGGTTCATGCTGTGAGCAATTACACCTGAGCGGTGAGTGCAAAGAGAACTAGCGTTTATGTTTGTGCATGGGCACAAGTCTGCTCGGACTGTGTATGCAGCTACAGTAGGACAACTTGTGTGCGTACGTGCATGCATGTGTGTGCGTGCGTGCAGGGGGGGGGGGGGGGGATGAAAATTCTTCATACCTTCAGTTTCAGCTGCCGTAGCATTCTCTTTGCCAGCAGTATCCTGAAGTGGGTCTGCAGGAGGATCACTGACTTTCTCCGTCGCTTGAACTCCTTGCGTTGTAGGAATCCACGGCAATGGCACTGGAGATGAGGTGGACAACGTGCAAGGGAAAGCAAAGAACAGCATTTTAGCATTGAAGCTCAGGTCCATTCATTCTAACTAGTCAGCTGGATCATGCATGCCATGTGATTTGCTACGTAAGCTAAGTTGCTAAACCCTTGCTCAATGCCACGAATTCAGCCTAGTGCCATTGCTAACTTGTGATTTCCTGATACACAGGTTTAGCAAACATAAAATAATGTTACAATCACTGAAACTGCTCTCGTGCCCTTCACACACACACTTAGAACGCCACTGAGAACTTGCAGACTACAGCCGACTGAGATAGCTCCAACAAAATGATGTTCTTGCACATGTCAGACACCCTGTTCGAGTCAAACTGAAATCAGAATCACCATAGATCTTTGTCAGTGCCAGGGGCACGTTCAGTATCACGACACTGAAATCATGTTGCAACACACGTCGCAAGCAGTTCAACACTGAAAAACAGCACAACAATGAAAAGACACGTCCATGACGTACCTGGAAGCCATAGACTCTTGCACGCATCTTCCTGTAGTCACGCGTCAACTTCCTCATGCGGAAGGTTGCCTGGAGCCTCATAAAGCCACGACGCATCTGCCACACATTATAAGTACATAGAGAGGCCTCAGAATGATATTGCAACAGGGTTAAATTGGCTGCTACTGGTACTAGTTGTTCAGGTTCTGCCACGAGCATGGTGGGAGTTGGATAAGGACTATTCTGCACGTTGAGTGCTCAGGCCGTTGCCAGAGATTAACACTCTATGTACTACAGTCTACTGTTTGCTGGATTTTCATTTACTGCTATCGCTACCAGCACAGACCCTGTCCTTCGTGCTGTTTGCTGGAGTTCATTTTCATTGACTGCTATCGCTACCAGCACAGACTCTGTCCTCCGTGCTGTTTGCTGGAGTTCATTTTCATTGACTGCTATCGCTACCAGCACGGACTCTGTCCTCCGTGCTGTTTGCTGGAGTTCATTTTCATGGACTGCTATCGCTACCAGCACAGACTCTGTCCTCCGTGCTGTTTGCTGGAGTTCATTTTTATTGACTGCTATCGCTACCAGCACAGACTCCGTCCTCCATGCTACCCAGCCTCAACACCGTCACTGTGTCTGTGATATGTGCATGGGTACAAGACACTGGAGCAGGTGCTGTGAGCGCTAGCGTGCCAACATGTTCGGAGCATGCCAACATACTTTTAAAATGTACGGGTGTGAAACATCCGGCCCAATTCAGCAACCGCATTTGTCACATCTCTGGCCCAAACATGACAGAGCAACACTCACAGTAGACAGATCCCTAATCAGTCATGGTATCAATTAAAGGCTGGTTTTCCAGGACCCTGACCAACCCCTGGTACCCTGTGTTAAATTTGTTGCCCGTCGGTCGTGTTTTTCGTGAGATTTGTGTCCACATTTAAAACCTTGTTCCACCTTGAATGCTAGGAGAGGCTCTACCTGGCGACGCCACCGGGGTGTTGAGCACTGTGTGAGCAGAGGGAATTTCCCTACTTTGCAGTCTAGATGCCACTCCTCTAAGTTACTAGTGCCGCTCAGTTGCATGCTACCGTGTATGTGTAGTACAGTGTGTGTGTACAGTGTATGCGTAGATAGTGTGTGTACAGTGTAATTGTATGTGTACAGCGTATGTGCACACTGGATGGTGCATTCTGCCAGAGTCCCTGTACGGTCTAGCATGAGCTGCCTGGTATGCTGCTACAGCATGTTTTGTTATCCGGAACGTAAAAATCTGATAAGGCGTACCCCATGGGTAGGGAGTTCAGTACCGTCGCGCTGACAAGTGAAAACTGCCGTCACAACTTGCGTGTACAACAGCAATGGGCCTACGCATGGCAGCTGTTTGGGATGACTTCGAGCCCACTTCTATTTTCTCTTTTGGCCATTTCTCTCGGGCCGATGCTATTTGTTTAGTAGGTAGCCGAGGTCATTGCCTTTCCACTGATGCCACACATGCCGTGCTGGGAATAGACATGGAGCTGCGCTTTGCGCAGAGGCATTACAAAGTGCTAACATATCCATACTCTGCCCGTGGGAGAACACCGGATTTTCATACTCGACAGCCTCAAAATTATCTAAAACAAGAGGATTTTAGAACATGAAGGCTCGCGGTTTATCGCGCTAGAAGGAAAGCGATCACAGAAACCAGTCCACGGTGATTTATCGGTGGTGGACGAATACATCAGGAATCGGGTATCTTACCTTGATATATTTGCGCCGGACACTGAACTTCTTCCACGCCTTCTGAATGATCACGCAGGCCTTCTTCAGCTTCTTGAAGTAGATGCGCTGCTTGTAGCCGCGCCATACTCTCTGAATGGTGGTGACACGCTCACTGAGCATGGCCTCCCGTGTTTCCTCCAGCTTCACGTCATGTTCGTCCTGAGAGCAGAGAGATAACGCCATGCAAAATTGGACTTTGTCCATGCTTCCAGCGAGTTGGCTGCCAACATTCAGCTATCTATCAATCAACCATCAATGCTGCCTTCTCGCAGATATGGGAATAGAGGGCAATGTTATGGAAAGGGTGACAGTCGGCCATGGGAGTCCACATAAGCAAAAAGAGCCCCCCCCCCCCCACACACACACAAGCACAAAACACACACGCATACGCATTCATGCATGTGCACACACACACACACACACACACACACACACACACACACACACACACACACACACACACACACACACACACACACACACGTGCACACACACAAAATAATGTATACTGTATAAGCAGAAATATTCAATTTCGTCTTTTTCGTCCAAGGAGCTCTTGGACTAATGTCGATTTGCCCAGCTTTTCTATACACTCTTACGATCCATGGACGAAATTTTCAACCGGACGAACTCCTTTTCTTTGGAGTTGGACGAAATTATTGACCGGCGAAATGTTCTGCCTCTACAGGCACACATGTACATAGTGGTCCATCTCACCTTCAAGAAGACTTTGGTCTTGCCAATCTGCCAAAGACCTTCACCGAGCGTGCTCATCAGAATCTTCTTGCACTTCTCGATGACATTGATGGAGTTGTCAGACACCTTCAGGCCTTTCTTTAACATGTAGTACCTATTGACAAACTCCTGGAAGGCATGGCGAATTGGATAACCAGCCCGACGGATTCTGTTGGAAGAAATGGCACCCAAACGCATGAAAAGCACCAGGCATTGCAAGGTCACTCTCAACAAACAAATATTACATTCAACCATGGGGCAATGTTGAGAAAATCAACCTGGGTAAAGGATGGGCATGGCTGAAGGTAACCTTGACTCCATTGCAATGACGTCAAACCCGCCTTGTGCTAAGATGGGAGCTAGCTAAGTGGCGAAATGCCCGTTTACAGCGGGTTAAGTGAGTGCAGAAACCACATACCGGGTCACACATGATAAACCCATACCGGGTCACACATGATAAAGAGGAACTTTGAGTGGCAAACGTACTATGTGGCGCGTATTGCATATCAGTGGTGTAGCTGATCCCCCTTTCAGGGAGGTGCACGGCCGCATATGTGTAGGATGGCTGGTGCATGTCATTCATGGTCATTATGTGCATGCTGAACCAAGGTCGACATTTTTAGGGGGAAAGGGGGGGGGGGGGTGCACGTGCCCCCGTTCCCCAAGCGGGCGATGTGCCTGCATATCCTCTAGAAGCTAGATATCATAGATAGCACTGCTGTGTTTGCTGTGTTTGCTGGCGCAAGCATCTCACCTAATCGTCTCCATCATACCAGAGTAACGGAGCTGACGTGTGCACAACTCACGGTCAAACATCTGCATGCGGCCGGGACGGAAGGAGAGCGGAGAACAGGACAGAGAGGCAAGCAAGATAGCATTACATTATATTCTTATATGATTATAGTCACGGTTTGAACTGCTGCAGTTTCACACACCAGCTTCGCATAGGCACATTGTCTATGTACATCGTAGGACGTCCGGCACAGGGAAGGCCAAGTCAGGGGCCACATGAGAAGCGGGCTTGCTTGTTATTTGACAACGTCCTATACTAGCGGAACTCCTCCATCTGTACTGGTAGTGTTGGTCAGAGCAAAGGTAACGGGTCTTCTCCAAAGGTCCCAGTTCCGTATGCTCAACAACACAGTATCTCCCCGCTCACAAGGCATTACAGTCTTCTGCCATCCACGAATGCAAGTGGAGTAGCTTTCACCACGATTCCAACAAGCGTGTACAATGTACATATTATACGGTGCTTTCACATGACATACAATGACAGGTAGTGGAATGCAGAAGAACTAGTGCATGCTCCGTACAGTGTATATTATGATTTCCATGAGCTGTTGCGACCATAAGATATTATTATATGGAAAGTGCACAGCTACCTACCTTCGCCTTCTTGAACTCGTTGGGTTTGACGCAGCGCACAAAGAATGGCTGGCAGGCGCTCAGTGTCTTCATGAGCAGGTCGAGCGAGGTCTTGAACTGAGCACCCAGCGTCGGCGACTTCTTGCGCGTTTCCGTGCCCTGTGCACGTGTGCGTGTGCAGAAGAGCAGTGCGAACGTGCGTGTTGGTTAGCCGTGCGTGTTTACACATCGCAAACCTATTCGTCCAGAGTATTGAGTATTTGTCCACAGTGTCTGCATGTCTTACTGATAATGCCAATGTGTGTGTACGCCATACAGCGGGCATTGCCGGATGGATGGCATCCTCTTTGTAGGGTATCATACTGCATGACATAATAGTTGGAAAAGTCAGCGTACTGAGGGAGCAGCAAGCAGTGTGCGTGTATGGGATATGGGACATTCGGTGTGCGGGCTGAGGTTTGTGACACGGCGCATGAAGTATGAGGGCGGGGTGTGTGGTATGGGGTAGGGGGATGTGGTATGCGGGTAGGGGATGTGGTTTGGGAATGAGGTATGGGATTAGGGTTACATGGCACGAGGGAAAAAGGCACGATGTATGTGGTATGTGGTATGGGTATGTGATATGGGACTGGGGATGTGGGTAGGTATGTGGAATGGGATATGAGAGATGGGGTGCTCAAGAATGGGTTGTTATGGCAGCCGATGAAGGCACCCCTGGAAAAGACCTTACCATCTTCTTCTCCTTGATGAAGAGGGATGCCAGGAATGCGCACTTGGACACTGTCAGCAAGTCGATCAAGTCCGCACTGAACGTGTCACGGTTCTTTTCCAAGAAACCTACGCACGGGGCAAATAGGAAATGCCGTGAAAGTAGCATAAAATGCTCAATAGTGGCCTGTGCCTAATAGATGTTGGCAGAGTGTGGATTACTGGTCTTTCAACTTGAGTGCTACCAAGACAAACTTGCCCCTGTTGGTCATGAACTCTCCCTCTGTGTGTGTGTGTCCATGTAGTGTAACCAGCGCATTGTCCACTTGCTTTAACTTTCATGGAAATTGTAGGAATCTACTAAGGTTTGAATACAGGTGATATTGGCTGCTAGGAATGTATGTTTACTTGTTCCACTAGTTATTCTCATGGATTGTGACTGCTTGCACTACCAATCATTACCGACACAGGCCTGGTGAATACAATGCAGCACAGGTAGCGGCATGCACACTGACCTCTGCTCTCGTAGTACACATCGCCGGCAAAGTGTCGCACTCCAAACGTGGTGTTTTGCGCCGACTTGGGCTTGAGGTAGTGAATGTGTTCGGCGTGTTGCTTGTGCAGTTTGATCAGCAGAGATGCATCAGTGCCCTGCAGTAACAACAGACAAACACTGATGAGTTACGCAAAGTATTGGGGTTGATAACTAGAATTAGGAACCCAACCAGATTATAAGGGACCATCCAAGGTTTCCGATTGCTTATCAAAGCAAATTATTCTTCATTGTGGGGGGGGGGGAGGAGGGGGAACATTAAAATCAATATTTTGCCACCGAATTTTGTCTTACTTGCAGAAATGGTGGGCAGATGAGAGACGTGAAATAAAACCATGTCGCTTTGAAAACACGAGCGGGTAACCACCTTATACAGGGCCTAACGCAATGAGTCCCATGACTGGATCACTCTATAAGGATGTACACGCACGCACAAACTAGTCAAGCGAGCGATGTTCGTCCCTTACCGAATGGGTGGCTTCAGGAACTTGTACGGCCACCCTCAGATCACACCAGTCTTGAAAACACACACACACACACACACACACACACACTGCCTAGGATGTTACACATGTCACGCTTGCCCTAACCTTTGGAAAGCGGCTCTCCTCGTCGACAAGAGCAATGATGTTCATTGGCTTCACGGCAATCAGATCCAGGCATACCTGTAGACAGTAGAGATGTACAAGTGGTAAGAACAAGATTACAGAACAGTGGTACTTTGCCCCTGTATCATACCACAGGAAGTGCAACGGATGACAGAGATCAACTGTGGGTCATATACGCATGCAGTTGAAGCATTCTTGGCAGACTGATAGCACAGTGAGGATCACCTGGTGCGTACTCTGATAAGACATGCTCTTGCTCAGTATGAATTTTGTCCAGAGTACGGCCCGTGTATTGATCCATACTGAAGTATATAAGGAGAAGACTGAGTACCTGGGATACTTAGTACAATTGTCCGCTGCCCATGGGGGTATGTATGCCGGTCTTCTCAGAGTTGCACGTGCATTAAAACCTGTCTAGGCGACCACTCGGATAAGGTGACCACCTGTCCTAGAAGACCACCTGTCCTAGAAGACCACCTGTCCTAGAAGACCACCTGTCCTAGAAGACCACCTGTCCTAGAAGACCACTGAAACCAGGACCACGGGAGGCTATTTCCAGTCAAACGACCCTGGATAAGGAGACCACCTGGTAACAGAGACCACGTTTCGAAGGTCCCTTGAGCGGTGGCGGTGGTCGTCTTACACAGATTTCACTGTACAGTACTGTGGTGGAGTGGGAAAGGGTCTAACCTCTAACCTGATTCCTAGTCTAACCTGATTGTCAACAAACTCGATGTGTTCCCAGCTGATGTTCTCTCTGTCGTACTCTTGCTGTTCAAGTTTGAAGATGTGCTGCACAAAGAACTGTTGCAGGTTCTCATTGGTGTAGTTGATGCACAGCTGCTCGAATGAGTTCACACCAAAGTTCTCGAATCCAAAGATGTCCAGTACGCCAATAGACAGGTACGTCTCATGACGTGATGGCTGCATTGACATGCACACACGTGCGAAAAACACACAAACACACCCACCCACATGTACAGTCTCGTTTTCATTCACACATCCCTAGTTCTAGCGAACACCAATCCCTAGTTCTAGCGAACACCAATCCCTAGTTCTAGCGAACACCAATCCCTAGTTCTAGCGAACACCAATAGAAGACCATTGCTTACTGGCTCCTTGTAGATGACGATGTTGATCTTGTTCACAATCCAGATGAACACGCGACCATAGATGCCCTTGACAAATGCATCCCTCACATCCAGGGCTTGCGCAGCACTCAGTGGTGTCACAATGACTTCTCCGTGAGCGAACGTTGTGCGATGAGTCAAAGACTTGACCAGCTCGTTTCCATCGACCTGAAGGAGCTTGGCAGCAAGATGAGCCACTTCTTCGTTGATGATGCGACATGCTGCCATGTTGTTGATTTCCATCTCTACAATGTGATACACATGCACACACGTACACACACACACACACACACACACACACACACACACACACACATACACGCAGTCAGGCAGCCGAACGAGAGTGAGTTGCTGGTTTGTCGTTTTCGCACCATAATCCTGCCTTTTCAGTTTTCACAAATATTGTGCACAATGTCCGCGTGCCAGGACACAGTGCTTGTGTAAGTCATCAACAGCGCCTCACAGCATCAACAGCGCCTCACAGCATCAACAGCACCTCACAGCTTTACCGTGCGCGGCAGCTCACCTTCAAACTTGATGTTACCCAAGTGTAGCACGGCCGCTGTCTGCTCCCAGATGTTCCACTGCTCCTGGTCCGTGAATGTCAGAATCTGCAGGCGTCAAAGTCACACAACAGCAGACAAGCAGATATTCACATCAGCCAGAAATGTTTGAAGTACATAAGAAAGTCCTAGTCCAGCATAGAGTATGCATGAAGACGCACACACGCCAGCCTAATACACATACTTGTCCATGGCAAACACATGCACTGTGAAGCTGTGGAACTGGATTCTCAAATGCTCATTTCAATCCACACGTGATATGGTTTGTTCACAGATGACCGTGGAGACTGTATTTAATCTATCCCGGCGGCAATGTTGTGCTGAATAAATGTGTGTGTGTGTGTGTGTGTGTGTGTGTGTGTGTGTGTGTGTGTGTGTGTGTGTGTGTGTGTGTGTGTGTGTGTTTAGTCAACTGAGTGAGGGGTTTAGAGCAACATCCGAGAAGTTCGGTACGAACCTTCGATAGTAGCCACAGAACCCCAAAAATACCCGAATTTCCGTTACATTCGTAGGGTGCTCCCACGTAGCCACGTGTGTGCGTGTGTGTATGTATGTGTGTGTGTGTGTGTGTGTGTGTGTGTGTGTGTGTGTGTGTGTGTGTGTGTGTGTGTGTGTGTGTGTGTGTTGCGGGAATACACTCGTGTTGTACCACACAACTCAGCTCACCTTCATGGCATCCTTGATGAGTGCAAATTCCTTGTTATCGTCCATCCCGTCACATGTCAGCGAGTTGCCCTGTGTAGCAACAATGGACACACACACAAGTACACATGCATGCACACACACCACACACACACACACACACACACACACACACACACACACACACACACACACAAGTACACAGTACGGATACAAGATTGATCAGCCGATAGACTCCTTGCATGTAGATATGGAACTACTGATCATGTAGCATATAGCATATAGGAATAGTAACTCTGTGTGCTCCTTGAGCTGGGATACAATGTGCACATACACAGAGGCGTCGGAACCGGTGCGGCAGGTGCGACCAAGGCCACGCCAATAATTTCATCTTGGGATTTTTGAAGCTATGGAATATGGGCTATTTGGACCCAATTTCCATAAAGTTCTCCCGGGGGGAGGAACCCCTGGACCCTCCACCCATTCATGCGATCATGGCCGCGCCAGTGTTGAATACCTTCCGACGCCCCTGATACATCAATGTGTTAGAGCAGTGTGTGTATACACAGACAATTAAGTGAGGCCATCGTAAGCCAACTAGTTGTACCTGGATCAGGTAGTAGAAATCCTTGGCGTCCTTCAAGTGCAGTTTTCCTTTCTCTTCCGCGGTCATGCCAGAAATCATCCGGTAGAACACGTGATAATTGCGTTCGCCATCAGCCTAAGACAACCAGAAGAAACAACCGATACAAATGGAAATGGTTTGAATGAGCAAGAACAGCTCTGAGGTGCACATCATCAGCTTAGCACAGGTATAACAAGCACTAGCTACCTAGTTCAATCACCGTATTACATGTTCTGAAATGTACATTGCAACTGTAGGGTACAATGAGGAAAACAACACACTACCAGCATGGTGTGTTACCGGTACATCCATGCAACACAGATGAACAGCAATGCCCTAGTAAAGATATACATGTTCCACCCCTCATCCCACTCCTCACCCCCACTAACCACCCCACCCCTCACCCCACTCCTCACCCCCACTAACCACCCCACCCCTCACCCCACCCCTTAACCCACTCCTCATCCCTACTAGCCACCTCACTCCTTCCCGGATTTAATACATGGGATTATGAATTTATGACAAACAGTTTCTTGCATCACGGGTGGCCTCGCATGCAACACTGACCCCGCCCAGTGCCTGAATGACCTGCCGAAGCCACTGAGAGCAACATCCTGCCAGTTCACAGAGGCAGTGTGCCTTAACCTGCTGGAGCGCTCGATTTCTGTCAGTTCATGTGTATCTTACCTGGCCAACGATGCGAGACTTCTCCAGCAAGTACTGCTGGATCTTGGCGCCTTCGATGACACCAGCCTTGGTGAAATGAATGTCAATGTACTTGCCGAAGCGACTGGAATTGTCATTGCGAATTGTCTTGGCGTTGCCGAAAGCTGTACGCAAACCGCACACACGGCAGCACTTGAATGCATAGCATAATTGCCAGCAGATATCAGGCAAGGAGTTGCCACTCAATACAGAGCATACACAATTATGTCATATACTGTCTCTCTATGATGTCATCCACTTGAACTCTACACCCAGGAATAGAAGGTTGCACAGTACTGTAGTCAATCAGTCATATGTGTATCTGTGTACTGCAGAGTTGTGTTTGGACTGGGAAAAGTGGATGGGGGGCATGCATGCACTAACACTGAACCAATGACAGCTTTCTATCCTAGGCTCTAGCTCTGTTATGCAGCTTCCCGCTACCCAATCGACATGTAGTATGAACGGGCCAGCACCATACCGTCCCAGATCTGATACAATCCAAGGGAGAACTTAAAAAGGATCCAATTGGAGGAGAATGGGGAAATACGGCAATGTTCACTCACAGAGCAACTGTTCAGTGCATGGGGTTGTGGTCTACCAGAGCAATCACACTCACGGTAGTGAAAAATACGATTTTCTGCACTCTTTCGCTACAGTCAGCCATGAAAAACAAAGCTTCTCACCTTCCATGATGGGATTGGCCTGGATGATCTGCTGCTCGATCCATGAATGCTGTCCACTAGTCGCTGCCAGGAAGTTGAGGATGAGCTTGGTGCTTTCTGTCTTGCCTGCACCACTCTCACCACTGTCAAATACAAAGCCAGGGATCAGGGAAAAGATTTGTTTCCTGTACTATTGCAGAGAAACTCAATTCACTGTCTTGCTGTGAAGTCATATCTCACTTATTATACACACACACACACACCATGTAACTGATCATAGAGAGGTTGAATGAGCTGTGAAGCAAATACGTAATCAGCATGTCCGTGTGAAAAGCGTGACTGGCGGTGCACTGCCGAACACACTGGACGCATCACCAGTCAGGCAGACTAGACCGACACTGCAATGAAAAATTGGCCTGCCCATAATGCCCTCGTTTCAAAATTCGTTGCAACGGCTGCGGCTTGCCAGTCAGAACCTATTCATAAGTTCGAGGTGCTCTTCTTTCGACTCGGGCTACATACAGTCGCCTGAAGGCACGGAATGACGGGCATACGCAGATCGTGGTCCTTCTAATTGTGTGCACACCTCAGTTACCCACACAAATCATCAGTTTTCGAAAGGTAGCCGCCACAAGTCACAAGGAACGAATTGCTACCGCTCTGCAAGTGGTTGTCTTCAGTGGCGGATCCAGGGGGGGGGGGGGGCAGGGGGCCTGCCCCCCCCCCTTTGAAAATTTCGACCTTGGTCTAGGATTACAGTAGACTGTAGAACATGGTAGAACATGAGAATGAGCGCTCGAAATGTCTTGGCGTGCCAAGTAGGTCACGCGTGCTGGGTACTTTTATACGTGTCCGGTGTAGTCTGTCTACGCACTGTACTAGTCAGCGCGCTGTGTACAACTAGTCTGTACGCACTGCGACCTGAGGACACGGCCGCACTTCAAACATGTGAAAAACGTGCCAAAAATGCAGGGCCTGGTACATACTATAGTGCAGCGATCGCGTTGGGCTGAAGTCCTGTATGGTGCACGGTACGGTGCTGTCGACTTCGCCCTTCCTTTTTTCTTTTTCACTTGTCAGAAACTTAACGCTCTCTAGCTCTCTACTTCGCTTGTAGCCAACGGGTTACCTTCAGACATGCGATGAAGAGGAAAGTGTGACGAATTTGTAGTACGACTATGATTTACGCATGTCGTTGTATTTGGTTCTTGTCTTGTGGAGTCCAGTGTCTGATGTCATATATGGTCTATGTGTACGCGCGAGTATGGTGTGATGTGTGACGTTTATGGTATGTGGTGCATGCAAGAGTACGCGTTGTCAGAGTGTGAGGATGTGCTTCCGTCTGTGTGAGAGTGACTGTCAAGTGAATGCTGTACATGCGCAGTGCTAGTTTGGTCTGGGAATGAGAGTCGTGTGTGATTCGTCCGTGGTGTGGTTGTCTTGGTCTTGGTCATGTGTTCTGTACGTATTGGTCCCTGATTGGTCGTCTCGATTTGTCGTCGGTTTATTACTGCTTGTTCGTTGTTGTTTTCTTTGAGTCTTTTCTCGGGAGTCTTTCCCGTCGTCGTTTTCTGTCTAGTCTTTTCGTCTTTCTCCTCCTGTGCCCTCGCCGTTTATTATTGAAGTGAATACTAGTATGGAAGCTAACTGAATGGTGCGTTGTTGAGTGACCGGGGCCAGGGGGAGAAGCCTACAACCATTTCCTTAACAAAAGGGTCCGACATCAGGTCGTTCTTCAGTGGACCGGTAGATAAGAGAGCTCGCGTTGAAGAGCCGTCCAAAGGTCCGTCGCGGCCGCTGTCGAGTGGAAATGTTCCCGCGCAGTTTGAAAATGTCGTGAGAATGGAATAAAACTAGGGACCGGCGGATTCTGCTCGAAAAGGTGGCATATTCTGCTCGAAAAGCAGTGAAATTGGCAGAACCATATAAACCTTATGGCGGGCAATTCTTCGAATTCTGCTCCATTTTTTATCCACATACCAAACATGCATGAAACTTACCAGAAAAAGTATCGAATTCTGCCAATTTTTCTGCCGGCAGAATCCGCCGGACCCTAAATACAACAGCTCTTCACAACTTCAGGACTTTGTTGTTGTTGTATTTGTTGTTTTGTTTTGGGGGGGGGGGGGATACCTTGGGCCCCCTCTTCGGCCAAGTCCTGGATCCGCCACTGGTCTTGGTAACACGTCGTTACCCAGTCTCACCTAATGATGATACACTGATCACGCTGTCCGCGCTTCATGAAGTAGTACGCATTGTCGGCGATGGCAAAGACGTGCGGCGGCAGCTCGCCGATCTTCTTGTCCTGGTAGCGTTTGATGTACTCTTGACCGTAGATGGAGAAGATCTGGTACGGGTTGATGGCCACCAGGATGCTGCCAGTGAACGTCTGATGGAAACAAGCAGAGAATACCGCAACAGCATGGCTCATACAGTCATACCAGCCGCAGCAATATCAAGTCCAAATCCTGGTGTGCATTAAACATTGGCCAAAGAACATGGTTCATAACAACTGCAGAGTTATTACGTCCAATCCGAGTTGCTCCTGGACATTGCCATTCACTTTGAGGCCTCATACAGCCATGTGCATGCAGTGCCTACTGAGTGTAAAAGAGTCGAGGCGAACATGCAACCATTGCATTGGGAAGAATCTAAGCCAGTTCCTTACATAGATCTTCTCCTCATTGTAGCGCTTCAGCAAGTTGTGCAAGATTCCAGCTTCATTGAGGTCACCGAGATGAATCTGTCAACAGAATGGAAGAATGGCTATAATAGATGCAAAAGACAAGCATAAAATAAATCTACCCCATGCACAAGCACTCGTATACCCCCCCCCCCCCCCCCCCACACACACACATACAACACATGTATACGCACATGTGCACCTCTCCTCCTCCTCCTCCTCCTCGTCCACACACACACACACACGCATGCACACACACACACACACACACACACACACACACACACACACACACACACACACACACACACACACACATACACACACACACACACACACACACACCGATAAGTATCCATTTGCTTTCGGAGAATCCGTCAAATAAAATAAAATAATAAGCACAATGAACACATGCCCCACCGCAGTACACACATACATGCACTATATAGTGTGAGTGTTACTACATGTAGTACCTAAACTGCATAGACCAGTGATTTGTAACTACATGGTACTACTGTGGCGGACACTGAAAGCCATTGAGAAGTCAAGCAGCCACGGGGCGCTGACCTTGCAGCCGCGAGCACCCTCTGCTGGTCCGTTTTTTACAGTGCAGGCCCGTCGCACCGACTTTGGAGGTGGGGCGGCCATGGAAGGGGGTCCGGGGTCCTCCCCGGGAAAATTTCAAAAATTTCAAAAATTGAAGCCAAATTTCAAAAATTGAAGCCAAATTTCAAAAATTGAAGCCAAATTTCAAAAATTGGAGCCAAATTTCAAAAATTGAAGCCAATTGCAAGCATTTCCAGGTATTTGGTGCCATTTCAGTGTACGGTAACTACAATGAAAGTCTTTTTAATTCTGCAACAAACGAAGAAGACGCTACGATCAGGGACAAACATTACCCTCCCCGGGAAAAAGTTCAAAAATTGAAGCCGCATTTGGTGCCATTTCAGTGTAAACTGCAATGAAAGACTTTTTTCTGCAAGAAACCACGATCGGGGATCATGCATTGTGCTTTGTTGTAATGTGCTCCAAAAAAAAACGGCCGAAAAAGTGGGGCGGCCTCAGCCGCCCCAGCCGCCCCGGCTGTGACGGCCTTGCAGTGTGCACGTGAACTACAGTGCATGCACACTCTAAGATAGTAAGGGCGCCGGCTCCGGTCATCCCATCGGATTTCCATGTCCACGGCAGTAGTTCAATCATGTGACAATACGGCCGTTGGCAGAGGTGCGCTGGCTAAGAGCTTACCATGTCGTTCACACCATTCTCTGATGTGATGTGCATCGGCTTGATCTTGTGACTGTTGTCTTGCGACACCCAGTGTTCCTGTGTGGGTAGCGAGTAAGCAAGGGAAGCAAGGACAATCCCATGATGAGCACAAGAGTACCCATGTGGTACGAACAGACTGCAGACACGTAGTGTGTGTACAGTCAGTGTAGTGCAGTCACCACACCAGCAAGTGGCCGTCATACATAGTAGGTAGTAGGTGCTACATAGTCTAAATAAGCGAAACGGCAGCTATGAGGTTGCCGGTGGCACAAGGTCATCGCCGCAGAGATGTGCTCTGCTACATCGTCACCACACGACAGATGTGTAATCTACGCGCCCCTGGACTGGTGAGATCATGTGACTGAGATGTCAGTGATTCAGGCTGATCCTGAAGCCGCATGGCTGGAACTCGGTGCCCCTAGTCCTGATCAGTTTTGGAATGAGAACGTCTAGGGGTGCCTGGGTCTGTACTAGTTACCAGTACCGAATTTATTCAGCAGTTACCGTATTATCTCTATTATAAGCACGGTCCTTTATTTTTTCAATGTACCTCCGCCCCGTGCTATTAATGGAGACGTTCCTTTATTGGAGACTGTTCCATTATTATTTCAACCTCATTTCAAAGGCATGTTGCCATGCCAAATTCATGTCAGACACACACATTTCAGGGGTTTTTCGCCGGTACAGACAATGAATTTACATAGTGTGCTTATAATGGAGACTGAGCACTTTATTTTTTGAATGCCACCCCAAGGTGTTCTATTATTGGAGACGTGCTATTATTGGAGACTGTGCTTATATTAGAGATAATACGGTACGCACATTTCAAAGTTACCCGTAGTGCCCGAACCCGGACCACCCGGATAAACGAGGTACGAGTGTATGTGGAAGAGAGTGCAGCAGCAGAGACTCTGAGGGTGAACCGTGCTGGTGGATCCGTACACCAAGCAGTCCAGTCATGGCCGCACAGAAATCAACACAAGTCATGACAACATTAACCTGCTAGTAGGGAGTAGTAAAATACCAGTATGTTACTACTCCCTGCCAGTGCATTGTAGATCACTTAAGAGTTTGGAACAGAGCTCACCTGTCCTTCATCGTCCACCAGTTGCATTTGACCGGTGTCGGAGAACTTGACGATGCAGCCAATGGGCACGTCGAATTCGCCGCCCTTGCCATTGTCCAGCCACACATGCTCACCCTGTGCGTGTGTGTGTGTGTGTGTGTGTGTGTGTGTGTGCGTGCGTGTGTGTGTGTGTGAGTGTGTGTGTGTGTGTGTGTGTGTGTGTGTGTGTGTGTGTGTGTGTGTGTGTGTGTGTGTGTGTGTGTGTGTGTGTGTGTGTGTGTGTGTGTGTGTGTGTGAGTGTGTGTGTGCATGAGTGCATGTATATGTAGGTACAGCCAGTCATAGCACATACAATTCAGTAATTACACTGGACATGACTGAAGCAGCTCAACTTCCTATTCCACTTTGTAGCCTGCATGCCATGCAGTCAGCTTGAGCTACGCATCCTGCTGCGCCTGGCTAACTAACACGCAGCAGAGGATCCTCAGTGGCTACTGATTATTTTGATCAGAACATCTATGTCTACAGGTTGCTGCAGTAGCGCTCATCTCCTTTTGAATTATTTGTGTATGCACATCATGTGGTTATGTGGTGTGGTGTGGTTGTACCGAGGCTTAGCCGTATGGCAAACAAGACTCAGCTCTTACAATGCAACATTGATTTGAAGCCTGGCCAAGATTCGAAGTCATGCACTCCCAGACCCCAGCACAGTAAGGGCTGCCTACATCACATTTACAGTCAGGGGTATAATGTGTGTACTGTGTGTACTGTGTTTGTTTTGATGGTGAAGGTAGGGGGTCTGGGGATAACCAAATGTCGCATCCCTGCATGCGAGGTTACGTTGCCTGTATACCACAGAATGCCGCAGAATTGTGTTTCGCTCGCAGCGAGCGTTTTATGGGTGCCCCATTAGTAACCGCACGGCGCATACAAAGCGTCTCACTCCGTGCGCCCCAGTTTCAACGCCCACAAACTACTTTACTAAGTTTCGGAGGTTGGGAGCTGCTACATTTCGTCTTACAATTTGTTGAGTTGGACCTTTCAGATCACTGCATTGTCCGGTGGTTCAGACCTTGGTTACGGAATAAAAATAAACTTGTGCTGTTCTTGTTGCTGTCCCGAGGTGAACAGTGAGTATTCCCTTGAGCAATTTGTGGCCTGATTGCTAAATATGGAAGATAAATATTTTGCAAATGAAGCGACGCATTCGGGGATATCAGTTACGGAGTGGTTCCCTCCACTCCGCAATGTCGCTTTGAACGAATGCTGAGCTGAGCCGCTGCACACAACAGTCGGTTAGACGCCAGCACACAACTTCAGGCCCTTCTTAGTTCTTACCTTTGAAAGAATCGGCATGATGGCAGTGCAGTCCGAGGTACGAAACCTCAGTCCGCCAGCCTAGCGCTGTGACCTAACACCTCGTGTTTCAGCCGCCCTTGTCCAGCCCAGCGGGAATTCGGCTCCGCTCCAGCGAGCCCAGCGAAGTCGACTGGCTGAGCAAGCAGTTAGCCTTGAGGAGAAAGAGACGTTGGCAATGGTCCCCTACCGACATGGGCACGGTCACATCACACTCAGGAGGGCACAGATAGCTCGGTGGTGCCACCTCGCCCCGTCCTGCGGTGCGCGCATGCGCCCAGCTGATTTTGGACTACATATACCAGACATCCGAAGGTAAGGCCAAACCGGCGATAGCTCAGTGATCGATGGATCACATGAGCACGACATCTGTGACTATCTTTCCGCATCCACAACTACTCGCTTCACAAGGCTTGGTGACTGGTACGTGGCTACTGCCTAGTGTCGTAGTAGTGGGCTCAACCCAGTCGTGCAGGAGTAGTTCTCTGTAACGGTATTTAGCTTCGCCCAAATATCGTCTCGATCATTATCGCTGTGTACCATGGTATACGCAGGTGGCGATCCACGTGGTCGGTGGGTGGCACACATTGCACTGGCACTGCCGGCATGCCACTACACTGGTGAGTCACCTGATCACAGACACTGCAGGCTGCTACAGACTGACATGGCGTCCGAAGTCAGACGTGGTCCGTCGTGCACTTACTGTCTGTCCAGGCGAGTCTGTAAACGTTTTCAACGAGCTGTCAGCCATCAACACAGTCGATTCTGATAGGATACAGACTCTTATTGCGGACTCTTGGCTCGCTCTCACTGTCTCGCTCAGTATCTGTGCTGGTGTGACCGTGTCCGGTGAACGGTTACCGGTAGACTGTGTCTACAGACTACACATCATGGCCACGCAGAATACAGTTCATAGTGTACCGGTGCAGATGGGTACATGTACCACAGGCTGCTGATGGATCAGCTTTGCACCCTACACAGGCTACATGGCTGAAACATCCCGCGTTCTGCAATACTGGATGTGAAGACCATTGTGTAGTGGGTTACGCGAACGTTGCGGTTGTACTGTAGATCTACAAGCCGAACCACTACTAAGTAGTGTCTAAGTAGTGTCTTATAGTCGTATCAGTTATGTCTGATTGATGGCCTACCACGGTCTACTACCAGTACAGCCATGCATGGCCGGGCTGCTCCTCCCGTCGTAGACTTCGTCTGGCAGCAGTAGTACCGAAACACTGGTCACGGCTCTGCAGGGTCTGCACAGAGGGCACACGGACCAGACGGTCAACTCACGAATGACAGCAGTCAGTATTGCCGGAGTGTCGTCTACCACTTACCAGGTCTACAGGCTACAGCCGGCTTAGTGGGCTATCTGTAGACTGTAGTGTAGGCTGTACTGTCTGTCTGCTCATCGCTGAGTCTTGTGTAGAACCGTTGCTTGCATGCAGCTAGATGTAGATCTACATGTAGCAAGATAATTCTTCGTCGTAAAAAACATGTCTGTGGTAATTATTTCGGTCAACGGACCGATGCCGCCACGACCATGACTGCACTGTAGTACCAGGCCTTGTCTACCAGGGCCTAGGGGTCTTGTCTTGTACTAAGTAATTGTAGTCTAGTCGACGTCAACGTCTCCCTAGCACTGGTAGATCTACATGGTCACAAAGACAACCATGCATGACCATGTTTTAGCGGCCGTCGTGAGTTCCCTTCAGTTCAGAATAGAACTAACTAAAATTACTTACATAATACGAAGTCTTAGATTAGAACTAAAAAAAAAAAGTTCGGGAACGGATATTATGATAACTTACTCTCTTTTTATGGTAAAAAAAAGAAAACGTCACCGTCACTTCACAAAATGTTCGCAGTTGCCAGAGAAACGCGTTGCTATGGACTCCCTTCGGGCGTTCAACAGGACCACAGTCAGTCCACAGGCACAGGTACAGACCGTCGAGTACGAGTGTGAAGTGCCCCCGGGACTGAAAGCACAGACCGGCGTCAGTCAGCATGGTCAGTGAGCACAGCATAGCACAGGACTCCACACAACACTACGCATCCACCGAGTCCGTGTCACCGATAGTAGGCGATACAACAATTATTATTTCCAGTCGCTGGTCGTAGAGAGCCAGAAGAGGTGTGTGTAGACTATTGCTCGGACAAAAATACTTTGAACGGTCGTGTCCATCTCAGAGCCGGTACCCCGTATGACGAAGTGCTTCTGCTGCTAAGAAAATAAGAAGCCTCGTAGAGTGCTGCAAGGTGCGTCAGAGGTGGTGGAAATGGCGTTACCATTTCTGCCCGGCAACCAATTCAACCCAAAGGTGAGCGATAACTGAATCACACTATCAGCGTTGCTGTAGTGTAGTATGTAGTATGTCCATCTGATGTGATATGCTACTGGCTGAAAGCAGCGGGGATAAGAAAATGAACAGTGGCACCGCTGACTGTGCTGTTAGGTTTGGTGGGTTGGGTTGGGGAGTCAATGACCTTGTGTTAGGTTTGGTGGGTTGGGTTGGGGAGTCAATGACCTTGTGAATTTATCAACGGATGTAGTGTTGGTACTGGTGCAGTGTACGTCACATAACGTTTGAGAACTTCTGTAGGCGTTGTTCTGCAATCGAAATTGATTTCACGAACACTGTGAAGCTTGCAGTGTGTTCACACATGTACATACATGCATATGTGCATGTGCACACACACACACGCACACACACACACGCACACACACACACACACACGCACACACACACACACACACACACACACACACACACACACACACACACACACACACACACACACACACCGACTGTGTTATCTGAGGGAGAGGGCGTAAGGGTTGTGTGACTTGCGTCAGAAAAGAAGAAGACAAATACATGTACCACTGTACTTGACATAATCCTTATGAGTTTGCATCAGTTTATATGTTCTGACTTGTGTTAGAGTGTTGTGTTTTCCTCGTCTTATTTCAAGCCCTTCGTAGTAAGAGTAATGTCTCCATCGCATTTCCATCACTCCCTGTATCTGTATCTTCAATCGGACGAGAAGGGAGAGAAACGTTTGGATAGATTAAAGGGGTGTCTTCTTGCTCCGCTGTATGGACTGCATGCGTACTGAACTACTTACATTGGGTTTATAATGCCTCCAACCCATGCCTCGTTAGAATCAAAACTTTCTTGCAATATGAAGTCATTGTAGACCTTAGGAGTGTATTTCGGTAGGTTCTAGATGCTCAGAATATTCAGAACTGCGTGTCTTATGTTGCCAACATTTCCAAGCTTCTCTCACCTAGCCCCTGCCAGTGCGCATTCCAATGCTCTACCAATGTGGCTTCATTACTTGCATCATGCATTGTACATGCTATGTATGCGTGCAGCTTGGGTCGGAGAGGTTCCACAAGTCCCACTGCTTTGACTACAACAACCAAGTGTCGGGCTATGTCGGCTTCAACAAATCCGGAATAGGTGAGAGAAAAGTAGAGTGGATGCTGCATCTAAGTTAACACTGTAATACTGTTAAGTACCGTGGACCCCCCCCCCCCCCCCCCCCCCTAACCCACGATATCGGCTCCCAGCTGTGTTTTGGCCGGGGGGGGGGGGGGGGGGGGGTAAGATCAAGGCTGCCTGTCAAGTGCAGTACGATATACATGAACAAAAACGCGGAAAATCAGTCTTGGCGTGCTGGATTGTGCACAATCATGTTCATCCACTGGCATGTGTTGTGTACAGCAGTGCATGCGCTGGTTCAACACCGTATTGTATTTTCAACTATTTTGTCTTAGCTGAAGTCGCTTCACAGACTGAAATTTGAAAGGGGCGGAAATTGAGAGGAGAGGAGGGGGGGGGGGACGGCTGGATCAACAGTACTTTACGGTAGTGCCACCTCTCTATCCACATCTGTAAGTCTGAATCTGTCAAAAGAAGAATGGCAAAAAAATATGGAGGATATGGGGTTCGAACCCATGGCCTCTCGCATGCAAAGCGAGCGCTCTACCACTGAGCTAAACCCCCTGCTGACAAACATCGATGATTGTAGCTATTGGCCTATCATTATTATCTCACTATAGTGCTGTACACCATAGGCGTCGGGCCGCTTATCCCCAGGGGAGAATTCATTTTGAAGAAACTATGTTGATTACACAGTTGCGACAGTAAATGCAAGGCAGTAGGCATCCCGTAGCGTTACAGCAGATGCTTTGATTCCTCATACAGTAAAACCAGACCTAGCTGAACGCCCGGCTTGGTGCAGCGGAAACTGTCTTGATACGACAGGATTCCGCTTGATCCAGGGATGCACGTTCGATCCACGGCACGTCGATCCATGAAAATGTGTCCGGTCAATGCAGGATTCCGCTTGGTACAGGGTTCGGCAAACATGGCTTTTACTGTACTGTCTCTTTGCTCCTCTCAAGGTGGAGACCGTTTACCTGGTGCAGCACCTCCTCCAGAATTCAGCAAATTCCCGACTGGCAAGGGCGGCTCGCAGCCGTCGTGGGTGGCCTTCGATAGGCAAGTCCTCCGCTTCTACGCATACTGCCAGGAGCCGGTGCATGAGAAGAGAGAAGAACGGTCTCGCACCAGAAGGTAAGCGCACTGTTTACAGTTGTACAAGTTTGAAGAGATTGAGAGAGACAGAGAGAGAGGGCTTTACTGGAGACCGTTGCAATTACATGGATTATGTATGCTACACGGGTGGGACTGGACTCCTTTGATTGAATACCGGCAGAGTTGCGACTTTGCGAGATAATCAAATCTCTCCTTGCCATAACCGTTCATTATGTTGACACACATGCTGTCACGCAGGGTGCAGATCTACTTCTTCCTGGAAGACGATACCATCCGAGTTGTGGAGCCAAAGCAGAAGAACAGTGCACTGCCTCAGGGTGACATTATACGCCGACACCGCATTCCACGGCCGTCTCCAGCTGATGGAACATTCTACACCTTGGACGACTTCAATGTTGGCCGAGAATTAAGCCTCTATGCCAAATCATTCAAGCTTGCGGTGAGTTGAGAAGATAGATATAAAATTAAACTGCATAAATATGATCAGATCAGATGGTAAGAAGAGTGCAGATTTGCAGTCCAATTAGTTAATTGTTTCTGTTAGCATCTTTCCCTCAAACCAATGAATGATTCTGTTGGGTTCCTGATTATTATTTATTTCTCATTTTGGAATTGCAGTAGGGTGATGGCCTTTCTTGTCTTTTCCCATTGACATGATCTGAACATGTGCCATAGCAGATACATGTGCGTGCACTGAAAAGTCAGATTGTTGGTCTGTTAGTTGGTAGGTCAATATACCGTGTAAGTAATCTACGACAAGGCAGCGGGTAAGCATGAGTATCAAAGAGGGGAGACGGTGAGAGAGTATAATTAATATGCTTGAAGGTAGTGAGGAGATGATGTCCCGGTACTATGTGAATGACTGCATCGTTTGTACTACAGGCTTGCGATCAGTTCACGCGTAACTTTCTGACGAAGATCGGCAAGACGGTCCCCGAGGATGACGGAGTGCCAACGGATGAATACACGGAACACAGAACGGCTGTGAGTCTATTGTTCATGAGTTCAAAAGTAAACATAACTTCTAGGCAGTCAACGCGACAGGTTTCCTGGTGAGCAGAAACTGGCGGCAAGCTCCACAGATTAGTGTGTCAGTGTTGGTGCTTGCGTTCGTTTTATGTGATAGTTTTAGGACCTGCGACTAGGCTGGCCTTAAGGGGGCACATCACCCAAAAATTCGCTGAAAAATCGAATTTGTAAATTCATATTGAGTGCTACGTCAGTTGAAAGAGCATGAATAGCTGCAAATTCTCTGAAAACTGTGTCCCTATCTGACCAGCCGTTCAAGAGTTATGGCCGAAAATGTGCCCTTGCAAGGAAAGATTTTTTTGTTGCATGCTGTCATTTGTTGGCAGCACTGTATTTGAATGTGAGCAGACCGTGCGCAACTTGTCGTATTATGGAAACACGCGAAAGTGTGCAGAATTTTGCCCCAAGTCCAAAAAAGTCCAAAAAATCACGTTAAAAAAACACGTATTGGGCTGCACGGCGGCGGGCAAAGCCCGCCGCCGTGCAGCAGGACTTTTGCCAGCACCCTCGTGACGTTGCAGATATGTGGCTTGATTATTGTAGTTGACGTTGATTTAGTGACTTTGGCAAGTTTGAGTCGTGTCAAGAAGTCAGGTAGGATTCAGTACTAGGCAGTAGTGAAACGTGAGTGGCAGTCTTTGCCGGTTTCTGAGGGCATCCTGGATTTGGTGTGGAGCGCTGTGGAAATGGCTTGCTGTGGAGGTCCCAACACTGGATGTTGTATCAAAGGTACGACCTCGTAGCACGTGCTAAACCTAAAAAAAATCAAAAATTGACTTGGGTCTGTGGGAGTCCGTGAAAGAACGCCCACTCGTTCCGTTGTGACAGATTCCAGGGCCACGTTGAGGGGCCCTACCCCACCACCCATGGCTGCTTCTGGACTTGTTTTAGGTTTGGGTCCCGCGCACGGACAGAATGGGCACGAAAATGTGAAAAAATGTAAATGCATTTGTTTGGCTCCTGGGTGGCTCGCACACCGTAGCACTATGCCGGAAATTTGAGTTTTTCCGGCCTGGAAAGCCTGTCAGTGAGGCGCAAGAACTTGTAAATCATGTCCTGAGGGCCAGCATAGTGGCAGGAGTGTGTGGTCAAAATTTCACTCAAATCCACTGAGAAACACCAAAGTTACGGTCAATTGAATGCCATATGAAATTTTTGGGTGATGTGCCCCCTTAACTGCACTAGTCATGTAAGAATTTGATGATCTGTATTTGTAGCTGCTAGAAAATGAATGGTAGTGCTTGTAGGTGTGTGTTGATCCATGTCCCGATTTAAATATAAGTTCCGTGCTCTGGCATGATGCCTCCTGTGTTCTACAGATGGCAGAGAGTATGCAGCCGATGCGCCCGTACGAGCGCTACGACACCCTGAAGCAGTTCCTGGACAATGACCGCAAGGTACTGCGCTTCTACGGCATCTGGGACGACACGAACAACATGTTTGGTGAAGTACGTGAGATGGTCCTGCACTATCACCTTGCCGACGACACTGTAGAGCTGCTGGAAGTGTACAAGGCGAATTGCCAGCGAGATACCATTCCCATCTATCTGCATCGTGTCCAGCTACCAAAGGTACATACTCGTATACATGACATGTACTGTATCCAGCTTACTGCCGGTGCACCATGCAATGTTACACTCTCAAGGGGCGTCAGAGGGAAGTGGGGTGTGGTATGACCGTGTGTCCGGGGGTATGCCCCCTGGGAAAAAAATCGGATTTTTCATGCCAGGCAGACCATCCTGGACGAAAAGTGGTACAAGCATGGTCATGCTGGTTGTACCGTGTGTGACACCCCTGCTCTCACTGGCATCAGCTTGTTTGCTGCAGGTGTTGCGCTTTCATGCATCATTGGACACATATGGGTACTGTCAGAATTGTAGTTTCCGAATTGGAGACGAACCCATCCTATCGCAATGGAGATAGCACAGAAGAAAATAGTGAAATTGTTCCTGTGTCGATGCGTTGTGTGGATTAGCCATTTAGGCTCGGGTCAGCCGTTTATGCATGTTGTACTTTTCCTTGTCGCTTTGTGCCTGCAGGAACCTCACACGGTACCACAGCCGGGTCAGACGGTGAGCAGAACGATCCTGAACGTCTTCGGTCCGATGGGACATGGCGGTCGACACATTCTGGATAACCTGAAGGTGAGATGGCAGTCACTGCTGAACGCGCCGTGCAGACCGGGACACATCGACATGTGTCTCTACATGCAATGCATGTACAGGTTCCTGGGGGGTGACACTGTTGGTGCGTGTGTGCTCGCGTGCCTGAACACAGGACTACCATCCAGTAGTACAAGTTATTACTAAGAACAGTGCTGATCAATGAAATCCCATGGTGTGAGTCATGTTTGCCATGCCATGCACCGTTCCACATGCCAGTCAGTTTCCAGCGTGACATGTACATGTACTCGACTCCGCACATGATCGGACTTCACTGAGCAGCACTGTACTTGAAATCAGATTACAGTAAAACCTGTGACTAACGATCACCCCCAGCTGGGGCCAGAGAAAGCGGTCTTTAGTGGCAGGTGGTCCTTAGTTAGAGGTTTTCACCGCACAACCATAATTATATGAATGTGAGGCCGTCCGTGCCTGGCGAAGTGGTCTGTAGTACCAGGCTGGCCGCTAATCACGGTGGTCGTTAGTTTCAGGTTTTACTGTATACCGATAACAGCCTGATGCAGATGAATTTCCATCTTCTGAGGCTGAAGTGAAACGTTGTGTCAAGATGACCACCTGTCCTGAAGGACCGCTTGAATCAGAATCATGACGTGAAGGGGGGGGGGGGGGGAGGGGGGGGGGGGGGGTGAGGGGGCAGTTCTAGTACAATGGCCCTGGATAAGAGGACGACTCTTGTGGTGACTTCCACACAGTGACGCCACTTTTCAGGTCCACTGAGGAGGTTAGCTTAGACAGCCTGCATCTACTCGAATGTGTTTGCTTCGATGGTCTGTTTCATGCTGTCTCCAATGCAGACTGGTGTAGAACCTGTCGAATACTATCACCATTCGGATCTGGCCATCGGGCGTTCTGTCAATGTGTTTGGACGCCGCCTGCTGCTATGCGACGCTGATGGCTTTACACGAAAGTTCTACGGTGCAGGTAGGGGGTAACGTGATTGATAGCCACTGCAAATAGCACTGCAGTCAGTGTCCATCAAGATATTGCACTGGAGTGTATGGCGGCAAGTGTGCAGCATTGCTACCAACATTATCCTACTTTTGTATCCTTCTGTACTTCATCCAATTTCAGTAGTCAAGGGTTTCACTAATCCAGGGTTTTCAATAGTCCAGCTTCTTCAGTGGTACATTGCTGTATCACCACAGCTTGGAATGACGAGCACACACAGTGACATACATCAGGAGCAGTCAGTGCCGTCAGGCCCTTCACCCATATCCACAATTTCTGTTGCTGTCGCAGAGAGTGAAGAGTCCATTGATTATCGCATGGAGCGCTCGGAGGCACCACCGCGACCGCTACCACCACACAATGACTACGGTACATTGGAAGATTCGCTGGCCAACTGCAAGAACCTGGTACCCAAGAAGCCGAAGGGCGACTTCGTCAAGTTCTACGAGAAGGACCGGTGAGTTGAGAAGTGTACGCTTCTCGTTGGCTTAATATTTTGTCTTGCAATATGGCTGCCCGCAGCCAACCCTGCACTCGTTCTGGCTGGTGTGAGGTGTGAGAAAGAAGCATATTTATGTGTAAGTCACTCAGTACATGGGTACTCACTTATAAGTGTATCGGTATGTATATGATGTAGGTAGTGCATCGAAAATCTATGATGACATAACATGAACAGCCTCTAACCTGATCACTGTCGTTGTTCATGCAGACATGGATTGGATGGCCATGTGCTTCGCTTCCTGGCTCGTCTGGAGACCAAGCTTCCCATCGACAAGGATCGACGGTTCGTGATATCGGTGTTCTTATCCGATGACACTGTGGCTGTGTTTGAGCCACCGCAGCGTAACTCCGGAGTAATCGGCGGAAACTACTTGTCACGCGGTCGCGTGGAGAACCCCGACAAAGAGCCAGATCCTATCACCAGTCACCCACAATTCTACTTACCAGAGGTGAGCGAGTCACCAATCGGACATCGAAACAGGGGTGTAGCGGGTCCCCCTCAGTTTCAGGGGAGGGGGGGGGGGGGTGCATGGCCGCATAATGTGTAGGATGGCTGGTGCATGTCATTCATGGTCATTATGTGCATGCTGAACCTAGGTCAAAATATTTAGGGGGTGTACGTGCCCCCCCCCCTCCATGCGGGGTACGCACCTGTGTGTGTGTGTGGGGGGGGGGGGGGGTGCATCTCGATCTGACGTCGACCGATGGTATCCTGAGATTACAGGGGCTGCATTGTGTGCAAGAGGAGGTACCTGATTGGTTATTCCGTGTGTATGATGAGTGTGATATTAGCTTTGTATAATGCGAGTCTTTGATTTCCCACGTAACTGCGGCAGTTACCTAGCCGTGGGATTTACTTTCACAGCGGCAGCACATGCGTTGCTCCGTTACAAGCCGTGCATGACCTTCTACATGCGTTATGCAGGTCTTGCTTGCCCAAGGCGAGCAATCTGAAGAATGACATCATGTAGTTACTAATTAGTTCAGCCTGTATGTCACGCATGTGTCATCTTTGCTATGCAGGACTTTGCTGTGGGCCGTGTCATTGTAATGAACAAGCACAGCTTCAGCCTGCTCGATGCAGATGACTATGTGTTCAAGTACATGGAAGAGAATGCACATGAGGTACGTTATTGATATAGCTTTCACTATGTATGTGAGTGGGCTGAGTATGGCAAGCACGTGCAAACATGCATGCACACATGAACGCGCGCACGCGCACACACACACACACACACACAAAGAGGTTAACTTCTAAACTTACATCACACGGGCCAATCACCCTGTAAGTTTCACACCAAAACGCCATTGCTATTATTTTCTGTTGCCCTCAGTTCCAACAATCTGATATTGGATCAATCGTTGCCACTATCCGAGCAGAGGCGATGGAAAGAGAAGATGCATTCCGGTCATCGTTCGAGGAGGGCCTTCACTCCGGTGACAGCAAGATGGAGTCAGCTGAGTTTACGTAAGCCAGTATGCAACGTGAACTCATCTCCTATGGTTTAACGATTTGTACTCTCTAATTTAGGAGCAGAAGCATGAGATGTGAAGGGACACATGAGGGTGTGAGCTCTTGATCACAACTATCGGGCAATGTCCTGAAAGGCCATGTGTGGCAATGAGCTAATCAAGGGGAATCTATGCAGCAAGGTACTAGTATGCCGTGTGAAACTATGCCTCCGTTTGGAAACTATGCCTCCGTTTGGAAACTATGCCTCCGTTTGGAAACTATGCCTCCGTTTGGAGATGTTGCCTTTTATGAAGAGTATTTTAAAACATCCTCTGCATTGGAAAAAAGCACATTTCTGGATCACTTTGGGAAAGCCACACCATGCCAGTGGGACGATGCCCGGCAGCTGACTACATGCAGCCATATGCTGATGCTGGTACATGTATACGATTGTGTGCTGCTCTCTTTACAGCGCCATCTTGGCCAATCTCGTCCCTCGCCTGATCGGTCACGAGGTCATGACGGTTGCACGTTATTACAGTGATCCAAAGGTGAGGACAATACGGCAAAGTCTCCCATGCACAGTGTGCCTTGTCGGACACCTAGTTTAGAACATTGCATGTGTGCAACGATCCGAGTGATCAGATCCGTGTGTAACCCGCTGCCAATGTTCGCAACCTGAACTTCACAAAGTGTGTGCACGTGCAGTTCATCCGACACCACTGGGTAAGCATCATATGATGTACACAGACAAAGAATTTCCTTTTGATAGCTATAGGGAGATTGACCCGAGGTAAAGTCCAGGGATGTGTTATGGTAAACTTCAGACAAGATAAACCCAGGCCAATACAAACCCTCGGATAAGACTGATTTTATATTTTTGGATAAGATACGTTTTCCCATGCTCTGATATGATTCGTGTTATCCAAGTTTTACGGAGGTGAGCCCGTTCCGTCTTTCTTTCTCTGGCTATATTAGGCAACTGGAGTAGCCGTGGAGACAGTGGCGGCAACCGCCCAAGAGCAGCTCAAGAAGGTGAACTTTGAGAGCTTCGCCAGACTGCTGGACATCTTCCGCTATGAAGACGAGGCGAGGTAAGGGTGTGTGTTAGTTACGGTAGATGTGAAGCACTATTTACCGCACACCAATTACATGCAAACATGCTTGCAGTGCACATTCGCATGCGCACACGAGTAAGGACCCCAGCTGCAGTGCCTATTCTACAGTGTGCCCTGGCCTATGACATGACAGGGGCGTCGGAACCGGTGCGGCAGGTGCGGCCAAAGCCGCACCAATAATTTTCGATTTAAAAAAAAAACATTTCAACGTTGTTGGTCGCTTGTACAGGTACCATGTTTTACATCGACAATGCGGTGTATCATCAGCATGCATATTCTTTTTATTATTCTATATGGCATTTTAGGCCCAATTTTCAAAAATTTTCCCGGGGGACGACCCACGGACCCCCTCTCACACATTCGCCGCACCAATGTTAAACTCCTTCCGACGCCCCTGCATGATGTGTGACCTTGCAATGCTGTGCTGCCAATCCCTGGCCCTCTTCTTCAGGTCTGGACACCTGCCACGGTCGGATGTGCGTCGCCTGTGCATGTCGTTCAAGGTGCCACTGACCAAGGAAGTACTCGGCACATTGCTAGATCGGTAAGTGATGCTACAAGGAAGAAGTCTTACATTTGAGTGGGCCCTTTGTGTTAGTCCAGCATGCAGATTGACTGAACCAGAAGAGCCATGTTGAATATCATGCACATGTTTGCAGTGAGGGTGCACACTACGCCAGTGTTCATTGTTGTGGTGCCATGCACACATGCCCGTATTGCAAGTAGACTGCACACTGTCTTGTGTTATGTATGATGCCACGACCCTGGTACACTCTCACACACACAATATGCATATATGCAGACTGGACCACCTCACTGCAACATTCTTGTATTACCACCCAACATGCCACTAAGCAATGGTAACAAGATGACCAGTGACCTAGGCCAGGGTGAAAAGTGCCAAGTTTGTTCCATTGCAACCAACCCCTGCTGTGGATGCAGCGACTGGGATTCCGGTCTTTGACCGTTTGGTGGTGGGTCTGATCTACTCACCTCCCACCGTAGGAGCTGCATCTGTGCATTGATCCTTGAGGGTTGTGATGTTCCTGCAGATGCTGAAAAGTCAGTCTGGCTGAGTCTCACACAAGCCACGAATGTTTCTCAACCCCTGTCATGACATACACCAATCCAGAGTGCTTCACATTATACCAGACCAAGTATGTGTGTCCGCTGCTTCTACAGATGTCCACGCAACGAACAAGACGAGCTGAACTACGAGGCACTGGTCGATGCCATCAACTGGAGACAGAAGCCACGGCCGGCTGGCAGCAACGAGGCAGCTACCACTCAACACGCACTGGCCAGCTTTGCGTACCCTGAACCATCTGCGGGACAGTCGACTCCGTCCGCAGTGAGCTACGATCGCTTCTTGAGGGATCTCTTCGGAGGCTGAGCAAAAGTTTGATGTGTGCCCTGCCAACGCCACCCGGGCCGTCTCCCCTGTGCGCAGTGCGGTTACCAGCGTACTACACAGGCCCAGACCTCCCAGCCGGGCCCCACGTCCCAGTCCGGGCCCCACGGCCCGGTCGACATGTACAACTCCTCGTCCATACCACCCTGGTCTACGGACCTGGGTGAGATACCATAGTTCCTGTGTTTGTATCTGACAGTACTCGAAAATAGTACTGTACAAGAGCATGACTGTATCATTTTCAAGTTTATTACAACATGCGAAATTAGTCAACTACCGTTTATGACAAAATTGAAAACAGCACAAATTTCATAGTGTAACGTATGCACTTGTCTTGAACATAATCTAAATCAGCTCAATAGGAGCCATTTTCCAAGGTCTACATGAGTTCCGCTGTATATACCGTACATTTCCAGATCAAAGAATATGCTATACATAACCGTAAGTTGGTTGGACTACACTGGGTCATGAATGTAGATATTGCTCTGATTTTCACTGGGATGCGTCTTCACCATTTCTGCTCTGGAACTAGTGTTTCGCTTCATTAAATGTGGGATGGGACAGTTTACTTCCAGTCTGGACAGACTCTCTGATACCAGCATGTCTATATAGTGGAGAATTGCTCTTATCTCTGGTGTTGATGGAGAGACTCTGGACGAATTGTACGCACGCTCGGCACAAGAGAAACATACAACAACTCTCCCGCAGGATTCTGGCTTCCATCGCCAGCATATTGTCCCCGCTTGAAGGTGATGGGGTTTGCCTTCGCCAGCTCGTGATCAGAGTAGCAGTCAGAGCAGCGGTCTGATGCTGAACGGAGGCATGTGTTCAACTCGCTGCAGCACAGCACGGTACATGACAATATAGCATCATCGCCTGTGCTGCTTTCTCTGAACAGTGCAGTGACTCAGTATGTTTCGGACTGCTCCGCCGTCCGTCACATCCTTGTATGCCGGTGCTCACGGCCGAGATTTGTGTAACTGCTTCGTAGCCTCTGGGCACATTCTGGCCGATGCCCTGGCGGCACTGGTCGCCAGTACTAGTAATAAACCGAGCAGTGCTCAGAAAACATCTGCAAGGCACTTACCGTGTGTGCCTTTGGTTCCTTCACAGTTAGTGGCCATGTACAGTACTCCTACTGACTGTAGCGCCGCTGTAAGTTCTCTACATCTGGCGCTCAACTGGATTGCGTCAGGGATCCCAGCAGCAGCATGTAGCTAGAGTTTCTTGTGCCGAGATGTGACTAGAGTGTCTGATCGAATGCCGGTGAACAGTATAGACGATCGAGCTCTGGCATTCTTTCTCAGCTCAAACGGTGACGGTTTCTGATCGAAACAGCACACATAATGTAGACGAAAGTAGCAAAATAGCTGTGTCAGTCCCATATTCCAACCATGTCAGGATCACGCCTCAGCTAGTGCTTCGGCGTGGCTAACAAATCAAACTAACTACTACTACTGTACATTTTTTTCGATTTTGACAGCATGTTACAAGGCGAGGACGCGTAGTGCTCCTGACTACAACCATAACCCGGTAACTACCAAGCAAGGCTTCTGTATATACTACTGTACATGTAGGACGGTTAATGACAACGGAACACCCTGCTGTAACTACACAACCTGATCTTGCCGGAACACCCTGCTGTAACTACACAACCTGATCTTGCCGGAACACCCTGCTGTAACTACACAACCTGATCTTGCCGGAACACCCTGCTGTAACTACACAACCTGATCTTGCCGGAACACCCTGCTGTAACTACACAACCTGATCTTGCCGGAACACCCTGCTGTAACTACACAACCTGATCTTGCATTTGACTAGTTATACCGCTATGCGAAGAAGAAAGACATTTTCAATGTGGTGGGTACTCACCATTCTCTTGATGCGCTCAAACAATAAGTCATACTCCGGTGCAGCAAAGCGAGCTTTGCGTGACTTCTCCCAACGGATTTTCTTCTTGGCTTCTTTTACCTGATAACTTGACTCGAAGAGAGGTGGATCTTGCACTGAACAAGTAGAGGAAAGAATACAACACTCCGTCACCATGTGTGAGTCAGGAATAGAGAGAGAGGGAGGGAAACAGACAGACAGACAGAGACATGCAGAGACAAAGACAGAGGGACAGGCGCACGCAGATAGGGACAAGAGGTGACACAAAAGCAAGCCACATACGTAGATGTAGGGCACTGAAGTGAAAACTTCTAACTCAGAGGACCAGTCAAACTTACAAGCTTTCCCTCTCAAGAAGTTCTTGGTCACGATAGCCTCAAGTGAGTGGAAGGTTATTACTGTGAAACAAACGAACAGTGAAACAGTGGATACCATCATACAGAACAGTGAAACAGTATACCATCATACTAGTGCAAACAGTATACAGTCGTCCCTCTCTAATCCGGCACTTGTTTATCCGGAACTCTTGCCAACCGGCGCACTTTCTGACGAAACCGATTTTTTTCGTTCAATTCCTACATCTTAATCCGGCACTTGAATTCCGCCTCCGGCAGTGACTTTTTGAAACGAATCGCTCAAACTGCACGTAGTTTGATTTCATAATCCGGCAGTCGTAAATCGACTGTGCGTGTGTGTGCAAGAGTACGTATACATGTGAACATGTTCTCTGTTTTACTTTATCACTGTGTATATTCCTGGAGAAAAGTTGAGAATATAAAGCCGTGCACCAAATACTGGGGTCGAACGGAAAAACCCTGCGTTTTGACGTATGATACATGCATGCAATTGGCTAGGGCCGGGTCAGAGGGCAGGATTTCTTAATCCAGCACCCTCGTTAATCCAGCAGAAAATGCCGTAGCAAAAGGTGCCGGATTAGAGAGGGACGACTGTACCAGCATATTAGTGCAAACAGTATACCATCATACTAGTGCAAACACATCTAATGTTCTTCACAAGTATGCTTGTAGTTCCGGACAAGCAACTGGATTGACAGATACACAATGGACTATAATTATTATGAACCCAGAAAACACAAAACGGAAACGGCTACCCCATGCATACTTGTAAGATTGTTATATGTAACGCATTTCCCCGATTATAAGTCATACTCGATTGTACCCCATTTTCAGGTTTCAGCCCTATTATTTTGATGTGTACATGTACATGTATCGACTTCAGTAGTAAGTCATGCTCGATTGTAAGTCAGCCTGTTCACCCTTGAATAGTAGTGTAAAAAGGTGCGACTTATATTCGGGGAAATGCTGTAGGTTAAAACCTACATCTAAATATCTGCATGGTACATGTACATAAGACAACAAGCAGCAGCAGCAACATCCACTGCACACACACACACATGCACATTACCTGCCAAGCAGCCGCCGGGTCTTAGCAGCTCAGCTGCGGCGTAGAGCCCTTTGCGAAGCTCTCCAAACTGCACAGAGTGTCAACGTAGGAACATACATGTAGATAGTACTGTATATGAATGATCAACAATCGTAGACAGCAAGGTGGTGGCTAGTCCTTTCTCAACCACATAAACACAGTCAACAAGAGGCAAAGTTGCAGCAATCCTGGAAACAAGCATATGGCGAGAATCAAACCAAGAGTAGTACATGTGAATCACATGTACTGTGAATCACATGCACCTTGACCCTAGTATGAGTATACTGCCACCATACCAAATACAGCTTAGAACCATGTAAGTAGACTTAGTCTTGTGTCAAACACCTAGAGCATCGTGGAGATCCATCACAGGAGCAGGAACTAGGTATAATATAGCTACCGGCAAAACGAAAACAAGATACGACCTAGCCCCATGCAGTCATGCAGGACGCACCTCATCGTTGACTACGACGCGAAGTGCAGCGAACACTCGCGTGGCAAGGTTCATTGGCCTTCCCAAGGAATCCCTGAGCACGGGCAAACACAATGCACAGCATCTCGAGGAAGCAGAACAAAAGGAACAAGACAAGAACTACAATGTTACATGACATGTTTGCTGCATTATTGTTACTTTTCCCTTCAGCATTGTTGTCCTTGTGAACTTCATAAATTTCTACCTTGCACCAAGAAGAAGATCAAGGCATACTTACCTGACCTGAAGTGGCCGTGGGCATCTCAAATTTGGAGAAAGATCAAAACTGTCTACTTGGTCGAGACTCGAGAGTAATGTAAAAAATCACAACAATGTAGTCAACGGGCACAGAAAACCTCAAGTATGGAAATCTATTTTTGAAAGTGCATGTCCGCTACGTCTCAAAGAACTCATACTATTGCATATATCCCTAGGACAGACCTGGCTCTCATCTTGACAGCGTCCGGTGTTACGTTGTAAATGATGGCGACCAGTTGCTGCGTGGTCTTGAACTTCTCCTTTTCCCGCGCCTGAACAATGTGCTTGGCGTAAAGATTGGCAAAGCGCTCTCCAGCAAACTGTGTTACAAAAAAAAGAAAGAAAAATACAGCTTGCATGAATACTGGCATGAGCATAGGATGACATACCATGGCCCACAGTCCCACAGTACAAATACATTTCTACCGAGTTGATGGTCCCTTCATTCGAGTTGTCACATGGTCATTGATATACAGTACAGTAATACCTGGTTTAAGCGACCACCCCACGGTGCAAGCAAAAGCGGTCGTTAAAGCCAGGTGGTCTTTAGAACCAGGTCCCACAGTGTCTGTGTAGAACTGTCTGTGCATGGAAAAACGGTGGTTAAGAGCAGGTGATCGCTAAGCACAGAGGTCGCTTCCACCAGGTGTTACTCTAGTAGTACTACTCTGGACAGCTAGCTGTTTCCACCACGGCGGTAATAAGAGTGACGGGCCGAACCGACCGCCATAACATCTAGTCACGGGGCAGCAAAGCATTTTTAAACCAGCTCAAAGCATCAACGTCGAGTACTCTAACTGCGAGAAACACAGCGAGCATTGCACGAGGGCAGGTAACGAGGGCAGGTAACGAGGGCAGGTAACGAGGGCAGGTAACGAGGGCAGGTAACGAGGGCAGGTAACGAGGGCAGGTAACGAGGGCAGGTAACGAGGGCAGGTAACGAGGGCAGGTAACGAGGGCAGGTAACGAGGGCAGGTAACGAGGGCAGGTGACTTTGATGCAGACTGAAAAGACTGCTCAGCCCAAAGCCAAGGCGAGTGAGTGTAATACTCAATCTCCGGACAGCTAGCTGTTTCGACCTTGAATGTTACTGCTATGTGTGTGTATGTGAATAGTGTTACTAAGCTAGTGATGCACACGGAATACAGTAAAAAATGTAACTAAAGAGTAAAGACCACCGTGACTAGCGACTAGCCTGGTACTACAGACCACTTTGCCAGGCACGGACGGTCTCACATTCATATAAGTTAATGGTTGTGCGGTGCAAACCTTTAACTAAGGACCACCTGCCACTAAAGACCGCTTTCTCTGGCCCCAAGGGGTGGTCGTTAGTTACAGGTTTGACTGTAATTTGCAATCGGTCAGGTAGTGTATCGGCACAGGGCACAGAGAACAAGCAGATGTGAGCAAGAGCATGTGCACAGACACATGGACACATCCACACAGATTGACGCACAGATACACATGTACACACATACACATACGTGCAAGCATACACACACGCACGCATGCACACACCTGCAGCAGCAGCAACCAGTACAACTCCGACTCACTGTGCGGAAATAGTACGCCAACTCTCTGGAGGAACAGTTGTTGACAAAATCAGCTGCCGTACGGCGCGGCGCACCCTTTGGTGGATTCTCAGAATCTAAAACATCCATGCGCATGTCAAGTGGACCATCTTCCATGAATGAAAACCCTCTCTGGCCTTCCTGGAACTATCACAAGAGAGACACAAATACCAGGATTTAATAAAGAAACATTACAAAGCTTTATGGGAGTCAGTCCACACTGACTGCTCCATACCTGGACATGTTGGAAACCAGGAAGGAAGTGCATTCAACTAAACTCTCATCAACCAATTTCTAGTTCAATCTCAAGTCTAAAAAGATAGCATAAAAGCTAGTGTTGCACAATAACAGGTGAGTGCAGGCAGTGGAGTAGCACAACACTGTGGTAGTGAAGAACTTGTGACTACACTCTACTACATGTACAGCAGCCATTTGCCGCTTTTGAGACAGAATTCGTTAGAATTTCACCTCGCCAACCCACACAAATCCGGAGATCGCTAAATTTAATTGACGTTTTAAAATATCTGGTCTTACAGTACACATCATTACGAGGGCATACACAGCGCAAACAACAACATACTTGGCCAGTGGATGGGCCGAGGTCCATGAGAATGGCATCAACACTGCCGGGCCTGCAAAAGCAGGGCAGAAAAACACAGGCACAAAAAAAAACAGAAACATTCGGAGTGTCTTGTTTGATACGTGCGTTCAGGTGCTGAACAGTCCTACCAACATACCGACTAGCACGTATCAAACAACACACTCCACTTCACATCCTTCCACCCAGTGCGCAATCCGAGAAACATTCGGGTTTGGCAAAAATGAATCTGATAATCTAATGCTATATGTGTGTAGTACTGCAGTTTCACAGAGTGGCAGATGCAGCCGTAAGGTCGTGTGTGTGTGGGGGGGGGGGGGGGGGGGGGGACACACACCCTCCCACAATCGGTCAAAGGACAAAACACCCAAAGGCAAAACACCCAAACACCCAAAGGTTGACCGACTGCACAAACAGCTTCTGAATGTCCCGTTAGTAGTAGGGCCGTTACACAATACCACGTAAGCAATAGTAACTGTGATTAGATAATACCACATGTACTTCAGTGTAGTAGTGACCAGTGCACACACACACGCATGCACGCACGCCTGTCCGCCCGCACGCACCCACACACACACGCACTAGTATGTTGGGTAGCCCTGCACTCACTGCAAGCCCTTTGCTTTCAGAAGCTTCACAACATTGCCAAAGCGGCCATGAACAAAGTGAAAGCGTTCTCTCAGCTCCTCTTCACTGCGCTGACCATCCAGTGCCTCGGCCAAGCAAGCAGGCAGTGTCTCTGCCAGCTGACACGCCGCCGGATCACGATCTATGGAGTACACCTGCGCTGGTGTCTGGTCTAAAACAGGGAAGAAAAGAACGCTAATCAGCACATTGATGTCGATAGCAGAGTCAATGCACAATTACTGCTCCCAGGTACAATGACAAAAGCATATAGTCCCGTCCAGTCAGAGCTTGCCATCTTTCCCAAGCGCCCCAGTTTGATGTCTTGTCCGGAAAACTACTACAATAATAGTAGATTGTAGCATCGTAGGATTTAGCGGCACCATGCTGACTTGCAGCAGGTGCCGCTTGGATCTGTTGTTAGAGTTGAAGATCAACCCTACGGTGCGGACACAGCAACCATGTTGCAAGCCATATAGCACCATGTACAGATCTCTCGTTCGCTCCAGCCCACGGAAGAGTCAAAGTGGTGGGGCACTCTGGCGGGATTTTGCGGCAGTTCAAAGTTTCCTTACCCATGTGCACACGAATACATACACACGCGTGCACACATGTATACACATAATTATGTGCGTGAAAGCATACACACACACACACACACACACACATACACACACATATGCAAACAAGCATGCATACAAACAAACACATAGCTAAACAGTACGCATAAAGGGGCATTGCTGTGGAGAGCAGATGGAACAGGCAGCTGGCGCCCAATGTCCACTCAACGAACAGGATGTGCGGTGGTTGGCAGAAACGCAACACCCATCATGTGTCAACGATAACAGTCGAGGCATGCCCAATGAAATCCAGCCCCATGAATAAGTTAGTAGCCTAGGGCAGTGCACAGGTCCAGGGTTTGCGAGGCCTGGGGTTGCACAGCTACCAGAGCTGGCTGACTCATGAGGCACGGTTTCATTGAACAGCGCGGTAAGGTTGTGCCCAAACATACAGGCCATTAGACCTAGACCAAGAATCCATTACCCCCACCCAGAGTATGCAGCTCTACACACGAGGTCTGGTGTGGCGTGCTGCCTACATTACATAACCACTGTTCGGGGGATCAGCCAGGCCATTGCGTTGTTAGTGATAAGCTATAGTTCCGGGCGTGCAAGCGCATCATTCGTGGAGACTGGGGAAGATGTTTGTGTGATGCTTGGAGTACAGGCATTACCAGTACCTTTGTATCTACTAGCATTGTGTTACGCATGTATCCGGCTGAAACCACCGTCGCATCGTAACCATGGGAACTTCAAATCCAATCAGCAAGATTGTCGTTTCACTACAACCAGACTGGAGGCAATGCGCGGTGCAGAGCAACTATAGCTCCGAGATCAGAGTTGCATACTCTGGGGATGAGATGAGGGTTTAACTGTAACCTGACAGGTCAAGTGACTAGATTAACATCTACCCCAAAAGAGATGGAGATATCGACAAGGCGTGCGTGTAATCCTCCAGTACTAAATCCTCCGAGAACAATTGTTCCATATCACATCGAGAACATACCAAGCAGAGCGCTTGTATGACCACCTCCTCCAAAAGTGAAATCCACCACAGTAGACTCCTTGGTCTTGAGCACAGGTACGAGGTGTTCCATGCATTCTTTCATCATGACAGGAACATGCGACACATGACCATATCTCTTCAGCTTCTTTTCTTCGCGATCCTTCAACTGCTTGGAACGACATTTCGTTGTTACTCTGGCCAGCTTCACAGCTGTGCTGGACAGTTGCCTAGCCGAGCCAGTGCAACGGACACACGCACTGCAACACAGCGTACCAGCCATCACCATCGCGCTTATTCATCGTCCGAAATCTCTCCCGGAATGATACGACTCAAAACAACGCATGAACATGTGCAGTCGAGCTGACGTTCGTGAAGTCGCGTCGTGTGGTATCCTCGATTGTGCATTTGAACCCAGATCAGAACCAGGGAGTTGAAAACATGAACAAAGCGTTCTTCAAACAACAACCAGTCTGTACATTTTGTAGCCAATTATTAAAATTTTCAAAATTTGACAATTATGCACACGTGAACGTGACGTCGATAGTATACTTCGACTCGAGTTTGATGTTTTTGCAGAGAAACCGTTCAAACGCCATTTTTCACCATGGCTACGCTCAAACCAGATTATGGCGCCGTGCATGTGGCGTGAATCCTTGGTCGAATCAACCACCGTGCACCCAACATTACAAAAGTACCCTGTAGATCTACTGTGTAGCTGTATCTGTGTGTACGTGTGACTGGATTTGACTTTGGAAAGCGACAAAAAAAAAAAAAATGGTTCTACTGCATCAGTACAGCAGTGCATGCATGCTATTCTCAGTACTGTATCTGCATTGTTTGCCAGAACTGCTCGTTGTTGTCTTCGATGAATATAGTCGCCATGCCTGGGCACAGTCGAAGGGGAAGCTGCTACTCGGACACCAATAGTAGCAGAGGACGTAGCCCTGATCGTCGTGGTCCGCATGTCCATCGACATCATAAGGAGACAATTCCAAATCGACGACGTGGTCATGTAAGTGCCAAGTTTTGAACAGGTGTGTTCATTTATTTGCTTTTTATTTCCTCGGACTCTCCTCTAGTTGCAACTGGGAGACCTCCCCAAATTTCTAGAGCTATGTCTTCCCCGGGTGTTCACACACATAGCATTAATCTTGGGCTGTACCCCTAGGTTCGTCTGGGAAGTTTGTTACATACTTCTGTGTTTTGTTCATATCCACTCGACTGCTTGTAATCCAGACGAGAAGTCGATCTCGAAGTCGCCAGCGCTCTCCGCTGACCCGCAGAGAGCGCGGTGGCCGACGGATATCTTGGAGTCACAGTCGCTCACATCGTAGACACGCACCACGCCACGTTCACCATCGTGACAGGAGCTCCCGCAGCAGAGACAGGCGGCGGCGGCCTGAACGACGTCGTCATCGTTCTTCCACTGCATCTCGCTCTCCTGCAAGACGAGATCGCAATGGTCACCATGGTCCGGAGAAACACCGGCACCAGAGAAGCCCAGAGTCATCCGGTCACTCATCGGCATGCGCGTCAGGATCGGGCACAAGTGGCCGAAGTAACAGCGACGACAGGTCCAGATCTCCCACCCCGCTCCGGCAAGAAGTCGCTGCACCGGGACGCTCTCCCATGCAGGACTCTGACGGACATCTCATTTACAAATCGGGCGATTGCGTTGGACGATGTTAGCTCCATTATGTTGCACTAAGTATACATCTTGTCTATCCGGGGTGGGGTGTTTTCTGGGCTGTTAAACTACACAATGGCATAGCCGTTAAAGGGGCTTCAAAGCTGGAGTGGGGAAGGGCTGGGGTACCATTGGGTATTGTAGTACCATATAGCTGGGGAAGGTGACCAAGGGGTATGTGTATCTGTAGATACATGTACATGGCACATTTATACATTCGTATCAGTTAGGATTGTTTCGGTTCGGTTCTTACGCAGGGAAAGTCTCCGAAACCGGGGGAAAGAGGGTGGGGGGGGGGGGGGGCTGGATGTCAACATGCTCTGTTAGTCATGTTTAAATAAAAACAAATGTTTTTGTGTGTGTGGATTCTGAATTTGTCACGTTACTCGTATGTTGTTACAACTGAGTGCACTATATGCTTGTCTGATTTGTGAGCCTATTTGGTACACCGTATGGCATACCATATCACATGCCTAGCCTTTCCCAATTGCTGTCTTTTGTTCTCTGTCAAATCTAGTCATGCCGCTGCTGCTGCTGCTGCTGTCGCGTGTCGTCGACTGCACCACCTCTGTCCTATTGTTATTTGCCACTCATATGTATGTGTGTGTGTATGTGTGATGATGTGCTTTGTTGTAGATGAGATTGGCTCTACTCTCGGCGAGGGGACGTTTGGCAAAGTTGTGTCTTGCATCGACCAGTAAGCTACGCTGTATGGAAGGGCTTCGCATTGCTGTTACTGAATACGGTTACGTTGGGTGCTGAAGAGCGGGAATCTCCTTTTCGGGCTAGTCGTGTTCTTGTTTTCAAGTGCTAGTAGCCAGTTTCCTCGTTCTTGCTTGTACTTCAAGTCCATACAGTCTATTTCATGTAGTACAGGTGTACTGCACACATGGTGTTCCATAGAAAAGAAGCAGCTGGTGTTCCTAAAGTGCGGTTCAAAGTATGGATCTCGAGACTTTTTCAAAGAAATCAAATTTGCTGAGAAATTTCTTTGGGATATTTTCTCAGGCAGTTCCCCCAATGTTTCCCATACATTACAATTTCGGACATTTTATGCACAAAGGGATCAAAGATGTTATGTGGTCTAGATGCCGGCCTAATGGTTTTTTGAAAGCAGAGGTCTGAAATGCACTGTAATCTTTGCTTCCAGACTGGCATGATGTTAAATGTTGGTGATTTCCTAGTCTGGACATTGGACTCTGGCCCTCAATGTCACTATGCATGTACTTTGTGTTCCAGACGAAGATTTGTGTGTGTGCCCCTCTAAGCATCCTGCTCGGAGGTTCAGTGTTCAGTTCCACTGATCTGTGTTGGCGTCTTTGTTCTTTTCTGTTCTTCATTGTCCACTAGTGACGGGCAACGACAGGTGGCTGTCAAGGTGATCAAGAGGGTGGACCGCTATCGGGCTGCAGCGAAAATAGAAGTCGAAATCCTAAAAGACATTTCGGAACGGGACCGGGATGGGAAAGCGTGAGTTCTCACTTGCACTGTGATTCTTTGTTGGCTCGTCCTGGAGCAATCCAGGCCTGTCATTTTTTTCTTTTTTTTCACAACTTGGAAAGTGTTGTAGTCTTATGAATATGTGATGCTTCAAACAGCTGCTTAGATCGAATAGCAACACTGACCAACACTCAGGCGCTGCAATTCTCACTTAGTCTTTCCTTAGATGTGTTTGAGTGTTTTAGTCGTCTAGCCATCCTCGGGAATTAAGTGCCGGTAGGCATGAGCTTGACAGTTGTTCTGTGAGAAAGTAATGATGTTTTGTGAGACATTTACAAGAAGGCCGTTTGCTGTATCTACTTTAGTTATGCATCCCCCTCCTGTGCTGCAAAGAACGTGGTGTGTTGCCTGTAAGAGCATGAACTGAGTGTGGTCAGTAGTTTCCTTTGCGTCTTTGACATCTATTTCTTTTGAAATGTGTGTGTGTGTGTGTGTGTGTGTGTGTGTGTGTGTGTGTGTGTGTTGTGATCTCCAGGAACTGCATTCACTTACTGGATTCGTTTGAATTTCATGGACACGTTTGCTTAGCGTTTGAACGGCTCGGTGATAGTCTCTATGATGTTCTGGTATGTATGACAAGTACTGATTGAAAGCATACCTTCGTTTTGAGTGTCATTTTTCATCTTCTTTTCACACGGGAAAGTGTACCAACCTCCTGGCTTTCTTTACGCTTCATTATTAGGGGAAGGATACAATGCAAAGTAGCTGCTTCCATGGGTGCGGTCCTCATCTCGTGTTGTTCCCTGTTGCCGGCGCGTGTTGTAATGGTGTGTGCATTGTGTTGTGTCTGACTGTGTTGTATCTGACCAGGATAAGAACAGGCACTATGGCTACCCTATGCAACAGATTCGACACATATCGTACCAAGTCGCTGCTGGTCTAAAGTGTGAGTTTTATCTGTTGGTCTGGCTGCCAGGTATCAGTGGCATGTGGGATTTGTAGGTGCGGAGCTGGGTGAATTATATGGTTGTTTAGAAGATACTGCTGCATTTTCACCTTCCCAAGTGTGGTGATTATTTCGTCACCTTTAGGGTGGTGAGATTGTAACATGTCACTACCTCACTGTCGTGAGTTTGCACTTTCCTACTCTTTGCTACTCTCGCTGCTAAATTAGTTTGAGGCTGTTCTTGTGCGTGATGTTGCTCTTTGCTCTTTGCTGGTATCATGTCATGCCCTAGCCCATGCTGTGATGTGACGCAAAGAGCGACAAATTCTCACTTACTAAGAACTTGCACATATATCTACAGCGTATCGTGATGCAAGCCTGGCATTTGCTGGTCTTGCTTACGAAACGAGCACCTGGTTTGCTCCTGTCCTTTGCAGATGGAAGTTGGTAACTTCTGTCTTGTAACTTGACTTGTGCTACACGTTTACAGCACGAGACCTAGTACTAGTTTCCCTTAGTCAACTTCTTTGGGGTGTGCTTCTTTTCTCTCGGGTTGATTTGTAATGGCCTTGTTGTTTGAGTCACCCACTCTGTTCTTCTTTCCCTGTGCATGCAGTCCTGCATCGAATAGGTCTCACACACACGGACTTGAAACCTGAAAACATACTCTTCATCAACTCGGATGCCGACCAGCAGTACAACTTACATGTGGTGAGTCAGTGCTGTTGCTGTTGCTGGTTGTGCCCGTGCTTTTGTCCTACTGTTGTCTGCCTGAAAATCGCAATGTGACGCATGCTGCAGTGGAAGTGGGTAGTGCTGCGAGGAGATGATTTATGGATTGACTTGTGTCCTTCCGCTAGCGATTGCTGCAATGCCTGCCTGTCTCTTTGCATCACTTGGCCAGTTGTCATTACTGGCTCATTGGCAGATGCGATGCTTGCCTGCGTACCTTTATGCAAACATGCAACACGATTGAAATCTGTTCCATTCGGTGTTTCGCAGAGAAAAGACCAATAATATCCTAATACAATGCGATCTCCAGAAACTTCAAATGCTATCATTCATTACTCCATCGCATCTACTGCATGTACCGTAGTTCCGTGCATATAAGCCCATGGGCTAATATATGAAATAATGCATTTTCCAGGAAAATAAATCAGTAATAATGGTTCGTTTTTTAGCCCTGGGCCTATATTCGAATTTTGAAGGCAGCTGGCACGCGAAAAAGTAAAAGTCCGTGCGCGGTTGTCCGCCTACCATAGGTGCCGGTACTGGTAATGTAGTCTGCACTGACATGCTGTACTACGGTGTTTGGGTCTGTTTATTAGCCCATGGGCCTATAAACGGAGGTGGGCTTATATCCGGATATAGGCCCATGGGCTTATATGCGCGGAACTACGGTGTACCTGTTACCAAGAGTGTACCCCAAGAATGTGCAACTCTGGTCTCCAAGCTATAGGTGCCCTGCACAGCGCTTCCTTCGTTACATTGTGAAATAACGATCAAGATGGCTGAATTTGAGTTTAGCCCCGGTCTACAGTCCATTCATAAAAAGATGGGTCCTGGCTCTGGCGAGCTCCCGTATTTGGCGATTTTTCGTGATTTCATCGTACACAGTGCAGTGCTGCGAACTTTGAAATTTGAAAAAGGGTCCAAAAAGGGTGCCTGAACTGGGGTTCGAACCGCAGAATGCACTGTTGCAGGCGGGGTCAAACGGCCTGGATTTTGATGGTTTTTCCCAATTCAGTGCTTTTGGGGCAAAACCTGGCCGAAATCCTATTCTTGCTATGGCTTGCTTTTTGGACAAAAAAACTTCAGAAACATAATTGGAAGAGGATTCCATATGGGATTGCAGAAAAAAATTCTAAAAAAACTCAACGTTTGACCCATTTATGGCCAAAAGCTAGAAGTTCATTTTTTTCTGAATGGACTGTAGGCGTAATACCGTAGTTTTGAAGGCAATTCCTGTGTGCGGTGCATCACGTACTCAACCATCTGATGTCTCAGAGAAGAACCTACCTGTATTTGGCTGCTGGAAACCGATGCAGATCAATCATGACACAAACGTCCCAGCTGATTCCCCAGTCCGTGGCTACATAAATAATTTGGGCAGTCCCCTTGTGCAGTGTTGCATACTCTTGGGGTCATGAACACTTGTTAGTACTTTTAGAAGAATGTTTCGTTTGCATTCTCCTTAGCCCATTCATGTGCTTGTATGCTGTCTTTTCATTGCCGGTGCGCAGAAAAAGACGATAAATATAGTCCGTGATGCGCGGATCAAACTCATCGACTTTGGTTCAGCCACGTACGATGAGGATCACCACGGGCACATTGTCGCGACTCGCCACTATCGTCCAATTGAAATTATTCTTGGTGAGTGCTCGAGTGTCTGCGTGTGTGTGTGCACATGTATGCTCGTTTGTTCTTGTTGTGATACGCTTATTTTGCAAGTATTCTATGTGTGTGCGCTCGCGCGCGTGTCTACTGTTGTGGCATATCAGACTTTTACCAATTTCTCTTGTCATGTGTGTGGTATGGTATGGTGTGTACTGTTGAATATCGAGTTCAGTGGTTTTACGCTGAACGCTTTCAGCCCTTCGACTAGAGAGCATGCGGTGCGCTTCTTAGACATGGCAGTGTAACGGTTTGGGTGATAAAATGTGTTGTTACTACTGCTTTTTTTCTCCTTAGAGCTGGGCTGGTCTCACTCATTGGATCTGTGGAGTCTTGGTTGTATCATGTACGAGTTGTACACGGGCCAGACACTGTTCCAGACGCACAGCAATCGAGAACACATGGCCATGATGGAAGAGTACATTGACCGAATACCCACTCCAATGGTTAAGAAAAGCCCGTGAGTTCTTCTCTTTCTCTGTGTGTGTGTGTGTGTGTGTGTGTACCTTCGAAAGTACGATGTCCACACGCACTCATACTACCTACGATTCTCAAATGATATTGTATCTTCGCATGCGGTTTCTTGAAACCTTGGGCAATACCATAGAACTGCCACTGGAGTTGCAATGAAAGTTGGATCAGTGTGGTCAAACCCCTCACACTCTCGTCCTCCCTGGTTTGTGCAAGCCCTTCGCATTATGATGTTCTGACTTCATTTCCTGTCACTGTAGTCAGCTCTGGTACAGGAGAATGAGTCGAAGATCGCACCTGACATTGCAAACATTCTGCCATGAATCACACCCCCCTTGTTCATACGCACTGGACACTGGACTGACCAGTCCAGTGTACTGTAAAACTCTGTTGGCAGTTGCATTTCTAGATTGTCGCTGTCTTCATCCACGCGTGTGTATGCTGTTGATTGGTACTGTACAGGCAGACAATTTCGTCGGTCAATAATTTCGTCCAACTCCAAAGAGAGGGAGTTCGTCCGGTTTTAAATTTCGTCCATGGATCATAAGAGTGTATTGAAAAGCTGGACAAATCAACATTCGTCCGGCATTTAATTTAGTCCAGAAGTTGTGTGGCATTGCTACATCTTTGATGTTGAGCACTTTTTTTCGCAGCTGTGGGTTCTCATCTTACTGTGTATGTATTGTAAAACAGAGAGGTTCCAGGCTGTCCAAGAGAGTGCTCAATACCGAGTGGTGGAGCTGGTTCAAACAACAGGAGGACAGAGAAAGTGTTTTTACTCCAGTTTCACGCACTACGCAATCATCAGAAAACAGTTTCTGATGATCGCTTAGTGCGTGAAACTCGGAGTAAAAACACTTTCTCTGTCCTATTGTTTGTATGTATGTATTGTGTATGAGTACTCGTACATGTACTAAGTATGCATAACCTGATCATGAGATGTTGATGTATCCGTTCCTGTTTCTTTCAGTGCCCGTCATAGATATTTTCATTCCGACTACACTTTGGACTGGGATCGGCGTGGCCGTGCTCACCGCTTCATTCGAGAACATAGCCGATCTCTGAAGGTTAGCGCAGGTCCACTGGTGTGTCTTGGCTGTTGGTGCCGCTGCTTGTTCCGTTACTTGTCGGCGTATGTCTTTGTTCTTGCACATGTTTGGTTTGCAGCAATTATACTTCTACCGTACATGTACTTGGAAAGTACAAGTAACTATTTCTTGTTCTCCTCATTCTCTGCCTTTCAGTCATTCAAGTGTTCCGATGACAGTGACCCGGATGTTGAGGACCTATTCGACCTCATAATCAAGCTTCTGGTGTACGAGCCGAAGCAGCGCTACACTGCATCGCAATCCCTGCGTCACCGCTTCTTCGACATGTACAAGTAGACATGTGCAGCCTCCTGCCTGGCCTGCTCCATTGAGCAGCCAGTCACGTGACACTGAAACATCCCTTGACTTCAGCTTGCATGATTATTTCTTTTAAAAAACTTGCATGCCCTTGAAACTTCATCAGAAATCCTTTGGACACGAAAACACTGTCGGCCATAATCTATGCAACTGCATCACGGAACCACATCTCATAAAATTATCACACTGCTGATGTTACCCATGCTCCTGCTCCACTGCTGCATAGTTAGAATGCTGAATGTAGCTGGTCTAGATTATTAATTATCAGAGATTTTATAACCGTAAAGTGTAGTCATTCCTACGGAATCTAGCCGGGTGTGTCGTATCGTCTTGGCTTTTGTATTTCGACTTTTTTCTTCGCTCGTTTTGTTGAGCATCCTGTGTACGTCGTACCAGGTGTCATCAGCCAATGTTCTCCCCGTGTATGCCATGGCCATCACACAGTCTGTAGATTGGCCAATTTTCATGGTTGACTTTATCTTACACTCTCTTTATCGGTCTACAGTATTTAAGATACAGTAGTACCAATGTTTCTATGCAACAACACCATGTGGGCCATGCCACACAAAGAAGTCAGTCTGAGAGTAAGTTTGCCACGGACACAAGAGGTGCATGAGGGATGCATGAAAACAACCATTAGTTCAGCCTACACGTATATAGAGTACACAGTAGTTGTTGGCAAGATAGATAAGTAGTCAGAGTGACAACAGTAAACAAATGAAAAGGCAACCTTTACAGCAACTAAAAATAGATCTACATATGTGTGTGAAGTTTGAAAAAATCCCAGTGGCAACAACAAGTTTAAAAACACTGACAACATAATGCAAATGTAAAAAAAAACTAGCAGCTTTGATGTTCGATGAAAAGTGACGAACTGAAAATGTGAAAATATTAAAAAGTTTGACAGTTGGTGGGAGGTTAGAAGTTGAAACTGGGCATCATTCCAATGCGACTGCCAAGGTGAGGAAAGTGAAAATACTGCTAGCGAACCTGTGATTGCACTATTCACAAAGCCAAATTCGAGAAATGCACAGCTGCCCTCTAAAAAAATAACAGGCAGTGGCACAGATGGTGCAAGGTAAGAAAGTAATAATTAGCAATATACAAGGGAAATGGGCAGGGCCGAAAGGGTTGAGAAAGTAGGAGAATAGTACGAATACGAGTGTCATTGTTCCAGTCTCGGTCCTGGACACACGGGCTCATGGCCTGCCTGCAACCGTATTGCAATGCCTGGTCTGAGATTACATTCTATGTCATCACCATTACCTTCAGTAGTAGTATCAGTAGTTGCAACAGCAGGGCTTGTCGTTGTGCAGCAGAGCAGGCCAGATGTGTGTACATAATTGGAAGCAACAGCGGCGCTACTTCCACTCAGCGTGTCCATCACTTACAGGTTGGTGTTCACTGCAGTGTAGAACAAGACAAGAACACACTGGGTTGATGCAAGCCAATTTGGGAAGAAGAATATTGAATAATCTACATGTGGGAGCAGGGAGCGTGTACTGTGCTAGCAAATGCGGTGATGCATGCGTGAACCACTTTTACATGCAGTGAACTGCGCCAAAACCCACGGTCAACTGGGTACTCACTACTCGGAGTGAGGGTAACATGGATGCAGCTAACGAGGTTAGCCCCCTTGTCGGGCATTGGTTGTGAGACTTACCACCTCACCCTCGCCGTTAGGCGCTGCATCTGCCACCCTGGTATCACAGGCATGGTGGTGGCCTGGCACATGCGAAACTTCCTAAGCTGGTTGTGTTTCTCAACGCAATTGTATAGCCGGTGGTAACGCGGACGTGCAAACTTTACTTTTACATGTAAGAATCGGTATGGAAACACAAATACACTGTACACCGTCCGGCTCTTTACCCAGTCAGTGCACAAACTGTGTGACAAAAGGTCAACATACCATATACATGTACCAGTAGATATAAATGTGACCAAGAGAGACATCTTTCTGTGCTGCAGAAGCCAATCATCTTCGCCATACTAGTACTCCCCCACAGCTGTCACACAGTTGCATACGAGCATTTAAAACATTCATTCTGCAAGAAGGTCCACTGTCAAGTAGGTGCGGGCATGCATGCACGCAACACCCTCCCCCCCCCCCCCCCCCCCCACACACACACACACATAATTATATACATATACAAAAAGTCAAAAACATGGACACAGTTCTAACAGCACTCACGTTCATTGTCAGCACGAGCCATACCTGATGAAGACAACAACCAAAACATGGAAAGAACGACATGATATGCCCGAATGCACAACTCCATGCACAACAGAACGACCAGCCCCTTTCCCCGAAGAGTATCCCAGAAACGAAACATCAAAATGCAAAACTATCCATCCGGCTGCCACTAGTGCATGTAAGACTATCACAGAGTAAGAATCAAACATTCAATCATGTAGTTGAACTTGAAGCCTAGGCTAGAGCGGGGATTGTTGTTATGGCATTCACTGGGTCACATGCAGCTTCAACGCGATATCTCATTCACGTGCCATGAAAGCACAAGCTACAACTACGGTGACCAACTAGCACACGAGTACTGAAGTAGCCACAGCACAGCACAGCAGCAGCAGCACTACAGCACACAGGTTTGAGCCTAGAAGATCCTATTCTTCACACATAGAAGACCCGGCAGCGTACAGCAACCACAGCACTGCACTAACACTAGCCTGACGCTGCTTCATGCAACAGACAATGCACACCACACGAGCATGCAAGTTGCCCAAAGACACACGAGCATGCAAGTTGCCCAAAGACGCACTTACCATAGGTCAACGCTGCCGCCTGGACACACCGAAAGGTTAACGAAGGACAGCGACAACGGCAACAAAGGCACACGAAACACAAAGTGAACACAGGCTCAACAACAACACAATGTGGAAGAGCCCAGCCTGTGTTACAGCTCTGACTAAGACCCTAGTCAGACACATACACCTGGTCTGGGTATAACCTTCCTCAACACATTGCAGTGGAACATGCCAGTGAAACGTACCCTGGATCAAGAAGTAACATACTATGGAATATACATGCAATATACATGTACACAACTATTTTCGAAGACGCTGCAATATGCTATACGAGTCACTTGACCTTGGATAGCGTACAGCTACTATGCAGTGCCACATCAAAAACAAGTAGGATGTAGGTTATACAGTGGTCCCTCTATAATCCGGCACCATTTGTGCCACGAAAATCTGCTGGATTAGGGAGGGTGCTGGATTAACAAATCTGATTTACTGCTGCAATGTACATGAAGAGGACATTTTGGCTACTGAAAATTGTGCTGGTTTATCGAGGGTGCTGGATTATAAAGTGCCGGATTAGAGAGGGACGACTGTACCAGTTTCACTGTACAATCGTAAGCATCAGAAAAGACACGGATATATTACTTGTAGTAGACCCGATGAATACAGAAGAACCTGGACATCTTATTCAGCAGCAGTGGCAAAGTACGCACTGCACGATAGAACTGCTTGCGAGAAAGTTTCAGTGATAAACAAGCGCATCACATGAACAGTATACTGTTACAGTGCAATGCTACAGTGCAATGCTACAGTGCAATGCTACAGTGCAATGCTACAGTGCAATGCTACAGTGCAATGCTACAGTGCAATGCTACAGTGCAATGCTACAGTGCAATGCTACAGTGCAATGTGACAGTGCAATGCCAACAGTGCTATCTTACCCCCTCTTCTTCGCCATGCCAGGTTTCGGCGTTAGTGCGATCACGATGCGCAGGAGCATCCTAAGACACACAAGCACAAGCACAAGCGTGGTTAACAGATCTATCAAACCAGGTTTCAAGTTTCAACATGGATGTACAGCACCAACAAGACCAACTTCAAAAAAAAGAATTTTGAACATGATCATTGTCTACAAAGACCAATTTACTAAAATGATGGGCTAGGAGTGGTGGCTTATAACTTATAAGCACAAGTTTCAAGATAATGAGTTACTAGTTACTAATTACCACACATAGTCAATTGAACTCAGCAAAGCACACAACTAGGTTAGTTGGCAATGGATATAGACCTTATTCGATAAACGTCACAATCACGTGAACCGGGGTCCCGGGAACCAGGGAGTGGCAAGAGATCTGCGCTCAGTGCACAGTGGACTCTGTGTGCGAACATAGGAGCAGATAAATACCGGTATTTTACTACTCTTTTGTACGAACTGGGCCTTTCTTGCCACTCGTTTCTCGTACGCGTGCCCTAGCTTATGACAAATCCCTGGAGGCGAGTCCAAAAATCACGTTATCGAATAAGGTCTATACAAACTCAAGCTACACTTCAATACAGCATTCAGCGCCAGAAAAGGCTGCAAATAACAACAAGAAATACCACAATGACAGCAAACTTACAATGTGGGTACTCAAGGTTGGCACTCTGCGAAGAGCAAACAGAACAGAGAACAGAAAGTACATGTATCACAACAGGAGGAGAGTGAGCGAGAGAGAGAGAGAGAGAGAGAGAGAGAGAGAGAGAGAGAGAGAGAGAGAGAGAGAGAGAGAGAGAGAGAGAGAGAGAGAGAGAGAGAGAGAGAGAAGAGAGAGAGAGAGAGAGAGAGAGAGAGAGAGAGAGAGAGAGAGAGAGAGAGAGAGATAGCAATAGTTACAACACAACTACCACAGTAAAATTAATGATCTCATTGGTACTACAGAATGCTTGCCTGAAAAGGGAGACAAGTTTGGACGCGGCAAAAAATAACAGGACATTGATTATTATCTAACAAACACATCTCAGCATGTTCTGCTCTCATTTCAAACATTACTTTGACAATTTCTCATGCACAGATTCATTTATCCAGACTCAGTCGAGCACTCCTACTGCTGTTGCTACTGATGCTGCGGAGTATGTCAGCAGCACACAAGACAAGCAAAGGTGCACACCTTACCTCTCATCAGTGGAGATATTGAACTTCACTTGACTGTAAGTGAGCAGGTAGACACAGAGACAGAGACATGTTTAGTTAGGCTAACAGCACTGCTACCAGCACTGAACACCAGCATAGAACACAACCTATGACTATGAGTGACAGCTGAGTGTCTTGAACACTACACTACAGTGCTTGTACTCCACTGTCAAAACTCACAAAACAGCACAAAGATATTGAAGTGATCACTACAGAGCAAGATTGAGACTAAGCACACATCATTGCATGCCCACCTCTCTAGACTACAGGAGACCTACCACCATCAGTTCAGGTGCTAAGTTGCACAAGGGGTGTAAACAAGAGGCAGTCTTTTCTCATACTAGCACTACACACACGCAAGCAGCCCCACGCCAAGCAATATCAGCCCAGTGTAGACGTGTGGTGTGACTTGACTGTCCACACCTGTACAGTGGCCATAGGCTAACACTTTGAAGTACTTGTTATTATACTTCACATTCACACACTTTGTATCTCACACCTGCTGCGAGGAATGTTGGACTTACATCTTGCGCTTCTTCTGCGAAAGCAGAGTTACATGCCTTGGTGGTGGCCAGTTGACTTCCATGTCATCACCTGATTTCACACATGAACACACACATACACACATACACAATGTCAAAATGGGAGTTACTGCAAGGAAACATATGACTCACACAAACAAAACCAGGGGGGGGGGGGCAAACACATCCTCAGTGGGTGGCATCTTGACAGCTAAGATTGATAATGGCATAGCTATAATCGGTGTTCTCAATCCCGGCATGTCTGTCTGTACGTGCTCTCCTGTGTATGCGTGCATGGGCAGAACTAGCATAGACAGACATCAACACAAACATCATGCCAGCTGCCATAGCGAGCGCGGCGTACACCAGCACATACATGCTGCTCCACACGATTATCAGCGCGAGGTGAAAACTTACGCTCCTCTTGGAAGTGCAGGATACGAGGTGGGTCCATGCCCAGGCACCACATCAGAGAGCCAAATCTGTTCAGCACGGAGCACTGCACCAGTATAGGGTACATATTTCAAGCATACACAGACACATACACATACACAGAGCAGACACAGGCCACAGACCACAGACACACATGCACACGCATACACATACGCATACACACAGACATATCAGCAACACAAGATCATCGTATCAGAAACCTCGGAAAATAACAAACAGGCATGGATCAAGGCAACAAAGCAACCAGGACAGAACTCCTCAATACAAGCCCATTCACGCACGCACGCACACACACACACACACGCACACACACACACACACACACACACACACGCACACACGCACGCACACACACGCACACACCTGCCCATCGCTGAAGCGATGAAAGCGAACAAGCTATGTTCGACACACACACACACACACACACACACACACACACAACTTACACGCTTGAGTGGAGATGACTGCATCCAATCACCGGTACGCGTGTCATACACCTCTACAGACGTGACTGTGCACACTAGCAGGTGTGGTGACTGGAATGCTGTGTGTGACACAACACCACAGTAACAGTAACCGATATCACACTGTTCATAACGCAATGCACTTTACAAGAATGACAGCTTTCAATGATGACAGTGATACCTGAGGAGATTTGAACCCGGTAAGTATGTGCTGCGCAACCTATACATTCAGGAACAAACTGGTCTCAGAGACCAGCCTTGTCAAGCACCAGTCCATGCTCCGACCTATCACGCTGTACAACAGCTGGTGTACTGAAGCACTGAACATGATGACATGACATAGTACTAGTAGCTCAAGACAGGTTTCACTTCACCAGACCTAGTAGCCTGAATCAATCCTACGCTAATACGACAATGCCTGGGACAGCAGCAGCAGCAGCAGCAGCAGCAGCAGCAGGGGCTGATATCAGCCACACTTACCAATGGACTGTGGACTGGATGGCCAGTTCAGGTCGTAGGAGCGTGATCGGCAGCCATTGCCGCTGACAAACACACCGACCATGTTGAAACAGAGCAAGTACTCTGCACCTGGCGTCAACTCGATGCAGGCAATGCACTGCAGAGCGCCGGGGTTAGCGATCACAAACGACAAACCGGGGTCTTCACGGTCAATTAAAGCTGAAAACCAGAAAAGAACAGGCAAAGCCAACAGTATAGCAATCAGCCAAGCTGCATGCGGAGCTCTCATGACAAGGACGCCTTGGCAGATGGCCAGACATGCTCACTTTGACTTTGTAGTGATAAAGCTTGAATACACAATAAATTTTACATTTACAACACATTCTTCATGTTTCAGCTGCGGGAATCTCGAGCCCTGTCGTGAAAACATTTGACAATGATTCAAATTCAGGAAGTACACAACTCACCGATGGCTGCCGTTTCTCCTTCGGTCACGGAATAGAGAGTGAAGTCGTTGGACGAGCCTACAGCCAAGTGCCCGTCGCATCCAGTCAAAGTGTGAATGGTGGAGGCAACATTGATCTCCTGCAGATGCCACAAACAGTAACACAAAAGCATGCGGTATCAACGGCTAAGACTCAAAATGCAACACACGGCAAGGACAACACCCACACCCACCCACCCACATGCGCAAATACACACACACACACGCACGCACACACACACACGCACACACGCACACACATATACACACACATGCGCACGCACGCACACACACAAATACACACACACACCATGCACACAAACACACAAACACACACACACACACACGCACATGAGTACATATCACTTTGAAAAGACAGCGAAAAATGATGAGGGTTGTAGTCTACTAGCAAACGACTGCCTACCTTGATTTTCGTTGCTTTCGTCTTCGTCTCTGCAACAACTTCATAGACAAGAATCTTGCGCTTGACAGCAACAGCAACGTATGCCGTGGACGTGGCAGTCACAAAGCCAGTCGTCATCAGTACGCATCCTGCAAACACCAACAGCACAACAACGGAGTTATTTGCAAATCGTTGGCATATCTTTGGGAATCATTTTCTCAGATCGAATACCAAACCCAAAGCCCCATGCACAAGCGCAGGCCTGAGGATGGTGTAGTCTCTTGCTCATTCTTGGTTACATTGAAGGCAGCCCAGTCCACAACTAGGAACATATTACTATACGGATTAGGCTCTACAGTACTCAAACTGGCTAAACCATTTCTTGACGTACACCGGGCTTCCACAAAACAAGAGAAGCAAATGCACACCGAAACAATTGCATTGCTCAAACTAGGAATATCACCACTACTTCACGTTGAACCCATCATCGGGCTCAGGGCACACGAAAGACGGCAGCAAAGAGAAGCAAGCACGTACCACGAGTGCCGTCGACCTTCACTGCTGCATTCTCCGGGTCAGCGCCCTCCAATGCTGCTAGTCCATAGAGACGTAGGTGATGGTTACGACCTGGCAACACAAGACAACACAAGCCACACAAACAACACAAGCCACATGATAAGACACACACGTCAACAACACAGTACGACACTATACAATCACAACATTTGTATAAAAAATTCTCTTTATACCGGTATACACACACACCAGGACAACTATGCACATACGCACAACCATACACCATGCCCACAAGCAGACACGCACAAGCAAACAAGCAGACAAGCAGAGTACTGAAGCATGTCTCCACATCAACTGCAGTGTGTCCAGCTAGTGGTTGAAAATACACCAGCATCGTGCTAACTACAAGCAGAGACCAGCAGCCAAGAGGATTATGCATGCTGCACCAAGACAAGAATAAAACAGCAGCAGCAGCAACAACAACATACCGGTTATAGCGGCAATGACCATGACTTTATGCATCACCTCCACAGCTATGGCTCTCTTCTCTCCCACCTGGATCATGGCTGCACACAAGAATACAAACAAACAAACACACAACCGCATACCACAGAGGGAGAGGATAAGGAATGAGGGACATGATGCAGGAAGACATACACAAGATGAAGTACCAGAGACTTAATCAAGACACCCCCTGGCAATGAAACACTTCGCATCCACACAACTCAGCTCCATTGCACATAACGTACCAGATGCATTCTGCCTGGCTTAGATTCAAACACCATCACAGACTTACTTGCTTCTGGAGTTTCCACTAAGTACAGGCCCTCCTCAACTGCAAGAACAATGTGATTATGATCTGCAGCATGGAAGAAGACACACAAGTGCATACATGTACACTGACAGTGCTCGATGCAGAGTCTGACACAACTGAACTGCCAATCTACAATCCCAGAATGAAGAGGCGTGTTTGCACCTGCACAAGCAAGCAAGCCCTGCAGAATAGCTGCAAGACAGCAGCCTTCCCGTCTACAGGAAAGCCCACAGGCATGTCACGCCCCACACTTGCGCTGAAAATATCCCAGTATCATTGCTCTTTGTACATGTTTACTTGTAGCACAAGTATGGACTAGTTTACTGCATACATGACTGGCATGGACGGGTTCAAATAGGTGCCCTTCACAAATAAGTCCTCTGGCATTTTAACGCCCGATGCTGCAGCATATCCCAAGACCTCTGGTCGGCTGAGCTCCATGGGCCCCACCACCACACTCCTTTATTCACTTCAGTGTTCGGAGATACGTGGATTTTGTAGAAGAAAAAAAGAAGAAGAAAAAACATACCGATGATGTCAGCGGCGTGTACAACTCTCATGTGGTCGACTTGCTGCGCCGTGTACAGCTGCGTGCAGCCGAAGCGCGTCGGGCCGCCGAGCGACTTCTGCGCCTTGAGCACTCGCATTAGCTCTTGCAAGATGTTCAGCCAGTATTTCTTGGTCCCTTCAGTGTCGGTCAGCACCAGCACGTGTGCCAGGACTGTACCATCCGACGTGGAGTGGGCCGTCACAGAGATCTGCGCAGCAGCAGATAAGACCAGTATACAACAGCGCTCAGATTGCTAGGTCGCATCCACAACGGCTGAGATAACATGCCACACGGGGGGCATGAGTATCTCTTAATTTGCTGGCCGAAAATCCTATATATAGGATTAGAAAATGTGTACCTTTTATGTCGTTGTTATTGGTCATCACGACCAATAATAACGACATAATGGTTTTCATGGAAGTTGTAAATATGTTTGAGGCATGAATTTTAGATTCATAGGGTGATAATCTTTCTGATGAATACCCATTTTCAGCAATAATTGGAAATTTGAGCATAATTGTTCAGCTGCTGTCATGGAAAGGACTGAAGCAGTGAATGTGCAGAAGAACATTGCAGGTGTGGCACGGGGTGGTTTCATGACGACATATCGCACATGCCGTCATGAAACTACCAGTTTTAAGGATAAAACAAGGTCCAATAAAATCTCAAATCCTATATATAGGATTCGAAAAATAGGGCACAGGCCTTAGTAATATTGGGCAAGGAGATGAGCCTGAGATGTTAGTGTTTGAAAAAATTATCTTATTCAACTCTCGATATCTACTAAGACCTAGCAAGGAAAAATTGGTCACATACTTCTTGCTATTCTCATGCCACACCCATTTTGAGTTGAAAAATATGACCAAAATCCTATATATAGGATTTAGCAAATTAAGAGATAGTGCAGTGAGCGTATGCGTATACTCAGAACATGCACCCAAACATAGGCAGCCAACTTCAAAGTCGCCACCCCTTAAATAGCAATCACCTCAAGTACAACCTTATAAACTACAGCAGCAACAAAAGCAGCAGTAACAATAGCAAACCAATGACAGTACAATCATACTGAGGCAGAACACCAACCTTGAAGATGGAAGGGATGAGGCGGGGTGGTGCATGGATCACATCCGACTCTTGAACGGAAGACACTGAGAAGTTTGGATCCCTGAAGAGTACAGCAGGAAGGAAATAGGTTGCAGATGTTATCAGTGTTTTATCACTGATCAACAAATCATGGAGTGGCGGTGTTGACACTGATACAAAGGTTACACTTGCTCACGGCATTGAGAAATGCTCGCCCCACACACTTACAGCACTGTCAGTACATGTACCACAGTGCAGTGCCCAAGGAAATCTTAGGAAATCTCCTGGGGGCCATTGTAGCCTGAGATAACACAACGGGCTGCATCGTATATGTACAATTGGCTTGCTCACCTGATGTCAAACACGTGCGCGATACTCGTGCCAGACGCGCGGTCCGTGGCAAACTCGTACAGGAACACCTTCAGGTCGCACACCACGGCGTAGTGGCGCGTCCAGCCACGCTTGACGCCACCCGGCTTTGGCACCTTGACCCAGCCTTCACACACCGTTCCAATGCCCCGCTCCGGGTCCATGCCTCGTGGGGCTTTCACTGGGACAAGTAGAATAAATGTACAGGTGGGAGATTGGGAGTCAGTGCCAGGGCAAATATACATGAAACAGATGCTCAGATACCCAGACACCATAAATATAAGCATGTAGAATAACTACTTCCACAGTACAAACACACACAGTAGCTAGTCATTCACTGTAGTTCCTTTGTAGGTATATTCTGGGCCCGGTACTAATAAGATACCACCGATACATCAGTATTCAAGCGGAGGCATGAGCATCTCACAGCATAATACAAGTCAACCACAAGGTCAAACGTGCTAACAGACGATAGTGATCGCCCCAAACCGAGGCTGACACAACGACACTCACTGAGTAGCTCCTGCGACACGGGACACTCCAGCTCCACCTGCTGTGCGCAGTGAGTGTGCACAGAGAACTTGCAAGCTGCACAAGGTCACACACATCATCATACAACGCACACGATTCTAGGGTGGTACTCGACATACGTGGCACAAGGTCATGTATCTCAAAGCAGATAGCCATGACGTATATACGGGGACAGCAGAGAATGCAACCTATTGGCGGAACAAAACGTAAGCAATCCCAAGTCACCAATACAAAGTCACCAATACAATGACATTCTGGTCCGGTAAGTCACTATGACAAATATTAGCCAGACATCGCCAGTTGATATGGAGCTGACTATGGTCAGCCACTGTCCAACTGTTGCATTCCCAAATGCAGTAAGGGTATCAATTAAAACAAACACAAAAACAAGACCTTACGGGTGCGTGCATGCTTAGAACAATGCAAATGAAATCGTTTCGTTCTAAACGCCACAACCAAGACTTACAGTCACAGACCATGCCTTGGCGAACCAAACCAATCATAACCGATGTGCAATGTTGACACTTTGTGGGCACAGAGAACGTCTTGACCGTGAAGCGATGGTTCTGTTCAAATGCAGCACAGGATAATGCCGGGCAATGGGATAAAGAGCTCAGTAGGCCGCATGCACCAACACAGCACAAAACGTATGGAGGTAGATAGCCAGCTAATGCAAGCAAAACCAAAGCAAGTCTTCAAGTCCATTCCAAAAGCATCCATGTGAAACGCACAGATGGGTGATGAAAATAGGAACGCACAGTTACAAAGCAGCACATGGAACTTGGAAGCAAGCATGTGTGTGTATGTGTGTGTGTGTGTGCGTGTGTGTGTGTGTGTGTGTGTGTGTGTGTGTGTATGTGTGTGTGTATAACAAATGAGAGACTAACCTTGTCCTTATTCGTTCGGGGTCTGTCATGGGACGAAACAGAGTTACTTCTGGACTCGTGATTGGAGAACTGCATAACATACACACAGCACAACAAGGGAGAGAATTCACTACACAAGCATACAGCTGCTAATAGAAGCCATGAGCTTCACTCGTTTTCATTGTTGGTGATCAAACCACATCAGCACACTCAGCAGCAGCATACTGTGTGAAAGAGGAAACGCACTGCAGCGAGTGATTTCACATCAAGGTGACTCAGTGGAGGTGACAATGACAAAATGGCATCTAGGGTGTGAGTGTGTAAAGATGTGTGTGCACAACTCGATGACACGGCACAAAATGACCACACCATCTCCGGCACCACCTGCCCATGTTCACATGAACGGCTGGTCAACCCACCTCAGCAGCCAGGGTCTTGACATGGCCACGGAGAGGCGCGTGCACCGGCGCAGACACGTCGGATGAAGAACTGTTGGTTGAGTGAGTGCTTGGCTCTCGCGATGGCGATGGATTGGGCGCACGGCTAGTGCTCGGCGTGGTCGATGTCGATGACGTGGAATGTGCATCTGAACTGACTCGGGCCACTGATTTGCCAGCAGAGGCAGTGGAGCTGGTGGAAGGCGTGTTCTGAGAATGGCAGTGACAGTGACAGTGACATAGTGACATAGTGATGAGGAGAAGGACAACGCACTACAGCTGCAATGCACTTCAGCTAAACTAAAACACAAGGTGCCGAAGCAGCAGCACAGGTGAACACTGAACAGCCATAATCACCGTCAGTGCTAGGCTATGGCTGTAGGTAATCAGCACCTATGGGGTGATGTTGCTCAGCCACTGCAATGTAGCAATGCCAAGAACATACACCATGCAGCATTGCTAGAACGGGCTAAGAATTTTAGAAATCTTTCAAGTTGCAATGCCACAGGTACATCCTATTTTAAAAATACACAGGAGGGATATGGCAACCACAGCCACATGTACCGGCGCAATTGTCAATCGAAGAGAATGACAAAGACTGGAGTTTTCAGCGCACTTTCATACAGCAGTCAAACTTCACTATCACATGCCTCAAGGCAACCTAAAAACAATACTTTCATCCGAGGCAATCTACATCCGAGACTTCACAAGACTGGAAAAGAACACGACATGCTCTGAAGTTTCGCTGTAGTTACTTGAAGTACAATAACTACAATAAACAACCTTACCACACTGATGGCAGCTTGGTCTGCGTTCATCTCAGAGTACGTGATATTCTCCACGTGTGGGAAGCCAGCATCACTTGGATACGACGTACGGCGGTTGCCCTCTGCAATCGTGCTGTGCGTGTGGCCAGAGACAGAGTTCTGCTGCTTTATCGCCTCCATCGTGGCAGCCATTCGCTCATTCTCAGTCAGCAGTTCCTTGGTGTTGGCATCCGCTGCAGCAAGTTTCCTATGCAAGACGGTGAGCGAAACAGAAAAAGAGCGAGGGAGCAAAGTGAGCATCTCACAAATGCTCTTCAACTAAAGGGCAAGTGCAATATGAGTCATAATTATATGACCACTGGTAGCCCAAACCCTGAAGACAACAGATCACCATGGAAACAAGCACCACTGTTCAGTCCTTGATACCGTTTTCCATGACTTGAATCTCTATAGAAGAGGTCATAACGTTACCGACTAAAACAAACAGGGAACCACTGGGCCACGTACTGCTCGTAAGCCTCCAGGTGCGACTTGAGCTTGGTGACTTCGGCGTCCAATTGCTCCTTGGCCGCCACTTCAGTCTGCAAACTGGCCTGGAGCGTGAGGATTTCCTGCTTGTTCTGACGCACTGACTTGCGCATCTGCCAGTCTCGTGCCTAGCCAGACACGCAACACACACACCATAAAAAGCCACACACTCGTAAAGAGTCACAGAAAAGACCCATGCCCCACAGACAATGCACGCGATCAAAACAAAAGCAAAACTCTAGGAACATACATGTAAGTGTGCACTTCTTTATCTTCATAAATGTGCTCTGACTGATGATGGAAGTACGGCATATCAGGAGAGACTCATGCCAGCCAACGCCTACTCAGGAGAAGGCACTGCGAAGAGGTTGTGGGAGGCTCACTCATAAAATTCTTTGCAAGCACTTCAAAAAAGACAGGCGGCAACATGTTCAGACGCGCAGCGCAGCCCAGTAAAACCACGCCATGACAAAGGGCAACTGCTTAGCAATCCACACTGCCATGTACTATTGTTGTTTCCTCTTCCTTACCGAGCTGTTGGCCTGCTTGACAGAATCTAACTCCTCGGTCATCTTGCGCGCCAAAGCTTGAAGATAGCCCCGTGCATCACGCTCATCATTCACCCTAGGAACAAGAACAAAACACATGAAAGTCAAGTTCCACACTGTGACAGCAAGGAAGAGATTATCAGTTTCTGGCATCATTCGGAATGAACATATGGGATACACATGTATGCCTGCTGAGGAGCGCCAGCGTGTTTGCGTCCCGGGGATTCTCATCACTCACCACTGGACGATCTCGGATATCTGTGTCTCCCAGTGAGACACGGAATCCTGCTCCTTCTTCTGCTCAGCTTCATCACGCTCCTTCTCCAGCTGCTGCTGATAGGCAATGCTGCGCTCCAGGGATTGCGTGAGCTGAGGAAGCACCAACAAGAACACAACAAGAAGAACACAACACCTTCAACACAGCAGCAAATAATTCGGCAAAGACAAGACATACAGCACCTCGGAGAAAGAGTACAGACAGACACAATTCTGAAAGCCGTCAACAAATGAGATAGATCACAGCGTGTCCGCCATTAAGACTACACAAGAGTGGGAATATTTCAGAACTTAGCCACAAAATAATTTTCATGCACGCAGCAGCGGTTGACTATGTTCTGATGATTTGGATGATAGTATTCACTTGACTGACCTTCTCCATCTCTCCTTTCAGCTCGTCATTGTCCTGCAGTAACGTGGTCTTCTCACCCTCCAGCTTGCTGGAGACGACGGCGAGCTTCTCATCAAGCTCAATCTGTGCCTCCTTTTGCGCCTGCAACATCTTGTTCTGAAGCTCAGCAGCCTTCACAAACACGAGTAACAGAACAGCACATTCAAACACATCTTCCACAGCACGTGGTGGAGTAGTTGCATATAAATATCACTTAGAACACAAAAGAAACATTCGAAGTATTCCACCCTCCACAGATCGGAGTGCAAAACTAAAGAGAGGCAATGAGCTCCATCCTCTTCACAAACAGCAAACAGACAAGCCAATTAACTCGACAACACCGCAACCTCAACGCAATGGCTGATGAAAGCAAATCTCACCTCCTGCGTAAGGTCACGGTTGACTTCTTCCAAGCGTACAATCTCTTCGCGCTGCTTAGATGCTTCGCTGCCATGCTTTGATCGAAGCTCCTCAAGCGCCTCCTCATAATCAGATCGAGACTTATCCAGGTCTGAGCGCACCCTAAAGAAAACAAGCCAGTGGAGAGGATCGGAGTGCAGTGTTCGTACTCACCACAACTACTAGTAAAGGACTGTTGCAACAGCAGCAACAACTTACAGTGTACACTCCCTCCCTGGAACGCATACGCTGCATACTGGGGAGTGGTGTAGCTAGAAATAGGTCTGCTGCATTCGAAAGCAATCGCCTGCAGTTCGTGCATGACAAATGAAGGCATGGCGAGACTCACCGAGCAAGCTCATTCTCTGTCTTCTCCGAGTTGGTAGACTTGGCGGCTTTGATCTCTTTGTTCAGCAGAGCCTGCAGAGACTACAGAGATACACACAAGCAATGCACGCATACACACATACACACACACCTCAATAAAACAATCCACTGCAGACAGATGGAAGTCATCGTAATAAACAAATCCACTAGAACAACCGAACTCAGGTACTGAGCCAATAGTAAAATGCAACAGTAGTGGACAGTTGCTCACAACTCGTAACCCATGTGTCCTTCCTCATTTTTCCATTACCAAACGTTACATTTACTTCCCCACAATACTTGTTTAGAGCAATCAACCTTCGGTCTAACATACATTCATACCTCATTCATCCGTAACTCCGAATCACATACATTTTGATGGGGAAAGGCCATAGATACCGCATATGGTGTCACTATTTCCACAAAAAGTGACAAGAGAGTAATAATACTTCCCCTGAAACTTGCCCAAAGGGTGCCCAGTAGATCGAAGTGCCCGTAACTTCGGTGTCCGGCTAACCGAGGTATGCGTGTATAAGCAAAGAACACAAGGTCATGTTGAAGCACCAGCAACGCGGCAGAGGATTCCGGGGAGCGAAACAGCCAGGCATACCTGTTCCGCCTTAGCTCGAGCGTTCTTCTCCTTGGCAAGGTTGGCTTCCGCCTCCTCAAGCTCGGTGACAAGCTGCATAAGATCAGCAGAAGCACAATTTGTACATCAGTGAACATGACAATTCAAAGAACTGTACACATGGAGCAGAATATTTCACCTAACCAAGACAAAAGTAAAACAATAATTACTTCGAAGTGTAATACAGTCAGACCTCGCTTATCCGGTCCTCTTTTATCCGGATCCCTCACCATCCGGAAGAAAATCGTTGGTTACCGATTTACAGCATATGCCACGCATACATACAGTATGTGTGTTCGATTATCCGGTTCCCTCGCCTATCCGGATAGTTTTGTGGAAAACGGATGTGTGCGGTTAAGCGAGGTCTGACTGTAGATAAATGTCCAAAACTGCAAACCTTCTTTACCATACTACATGAAACTAGTGACCTACAAACATCTGCGTTACGGAGCAAACACACAGTCAACCCAATGCTGCAAAGTGGAAGTGGAGTTCACAGTGGTACCAGTAACTTACTTCTCTTCGCTTCTTATCCAGCGCACTCTTGTCTGCCTTCACATTGTCCAGCTTCGACGCAAGCTTTTCTGCAGGACAAACCGGGTCGTGGTGCGCACAGGAAGACAGCAGCCATCATAGCAACAACAAATTAGCAGAAAGAAAGAAAGAGAGACTAGCATGTGCAATTCTTGACATGCCCAAACAATGGAAAGCACATTGGGGCATTGGTTGTGAGAGTTACCACCTCACCCTCGCCGTTAGGCGCTGCATCTGCCACCCTGGTATTACAGGCATGGTGGTGGCTTGGCACGAGCGAAACTTCTTAAGCTGGTGGTGTTTCTCAACGCAATTGTATAGTCGGATGTAATGCGGACGTGCGAACTTAAATTTACTTTATACCATGATTTCAAGAATGGATGCAGCAACACACAGGGCTGTACACGACACATCTACACCTAGTTCGATACATGGTGCAGAGCAAAAGGAGCCTACAGATTGTAGCTGCTTGTGTGCAGTACCAGACAGAACAAGGTGATCACTCGCAACGTACCTAGGTCTTCTTCACGCTCGTGGATGATTCTACTCAGCTTGGTTTTCTGCGATTTGACCTGGTTCAACCTACACAGGGAAGGACACAGCATAAAGAATTCAAACCCACCACAGGACAACAACATGCTGGAAAGAAAAAAGAAAGAAAAAGCGGACAGCGCAACTGTAGTTCCCTTCAACCCAAGGAGTAAAAATGTAAAATACAACTATGAAGGACTCACGCATCCTCAGAGAGCTGCTGAGGATGAAGAAACCTATTGCACTGCAAATGACTTTGGGTGGAGCACCATTGCAAAGAAGAAAGGCTCACAACAATCCACTCAAAATGCATGGCTGTTCAAGCAGACATATAGACCTACACGCTACCACAGTGTGATATTCATGTACACATTCAAGCCGTCACAGATGCAAGCGAGCAGGTGTACACACCCACCCACACAGGCGCACACGCAAGCACACCTGCCACACACACACACGCGCGCACACACAGAGTTCTTCCGCTCACCGGTCACTGATCTCATTGAGCTCCACACTCAGCGCACGCCGCTGCTGCTGGTTTTCTTTCAGTTCAGTGCGTAACGAGGAGACGGAGTCCTGGCTCTCCCGCAGCTCTGACTGAAGACGCTCCGATTCCTGACTGAGCTTCTTTACAGTCTGTTCAGCTACAGTGATCCGATGGTCGGTGTCATCAGCGTACTCGCGTTGCTCCAACTGCCGTTGTTCGTTTAGTCGCTCGGCCTGCAAAACAGCCAGCAGAATAGCAGTTACAGTCACACATGTATACAGTAAACATCAAAGCTACATTACGATGCACAGATACCGGTAACTGGCACTGGTCTTTTAACGCACACTTCAATGCAAGCTGCAGTGAATGTGATACATGACCTGGCATCTGCAGGTGTGTAGCATATCCTTGAGAACTATAAGGGCAAATAGCAAAATTTGTTTAAAAACATGTATTGGCATTTACGGACGGTTTCTAACAAAGTTAAAGACAGCACAGCCCCATATGCAGGTGTCCAGTATTGTTTAGCTGTCACTGGAGATAGACTACCGTTGACGTCCGGGGTAGGATACAGTTCACAAAGCAGTCAGCGCAATCAACAGGGGTAATTCGGATCCAGTGGCTGGTTGCATCCGCCAAAAATACTACACAACCAGAATATCACTCGACAGGCATTGAAAGAACAAACTGTAGACAGAATATTGCTCAGGAAAGAAAGGAAGTGATTTTCTTACCTCCTCCATTTCTCTGTTGGCTTCCTCAACCTGAGCCTGCAGGTCCTGGATTTCCTTATGTAGTGCATCGATCTCAGCACTGCGGTCGATCATCCCTCGCTCGGCAGTCTCAACAGGAGCTGCAACTTCAACCTGACCATCGCTAGCACCATCTGGAGAATAAAGAAAAACAAAAACAAACAAGAAACAGACAAAAAAGCAAGAGAGAGAGAGAGAGAGAGAGAGAGAGAGAGAGAGAGAGAGAGAGAGAGAGAGAGAGAGAGAGAGAGAGAGAGAGAGAGAGAGAGAGAGAGAGAGAGAGAGAGAGAACAACATTCAGTGGTTGCCATGAAGCCGTAACGTAGTATGCGTCCTGCCATCCTTATAACAACGATCTAAATTTACAGAGACAGAAGCACATGGAAGAGATAAAGACAAGACAAGAGAAGGGAGTCTAATCGAGTCCACATGGATCTCTTACCATTGAGAGGGCTGACATGCTTGTCACTGAGTCGCCTGTATGGATAAAACACATCCACACCAGTGCAGCAAAAGTTCTCAGCAGCTTCCCTGAAGTTGCTTGAACTATCCACCAGAAACTAACAAGAAAAATCTGATATTTACAGCGATCAGAACACAGTACACAAAGAAACTTGGCCTCTGTAGACAGGCTCAAACGTAAGTTGAAGCGTGGTCTTGTGTTGCAGAGGATATGCCTCTAAAGACAGGATGTTTCTTACAGCAGTGGTCACGTGTGACAGATTTCACTGTATTTAGCCTCAAACCCGCATTAGAAACACACTGTTAGAGAGCTACACAGCATTCGCACGTTATGCACAAACTTGTGTCATAAAAACTTTTAAAAGGTGACAAAATCCAGACTTACGAGTTCTGTATGTAGGTGAATCCAACGAACGGTAAGTGATGGCCGGTGAAAGCAGCAACAGTCTTGTTAGGCTGTGCCTACAACAGAGGTGAAACAATGCTGTGATCAGATAAAGACTACACGATTTTTCTTGATAATACTCAATTTTCCCTCTACTTCCGTGTCTCTTCACCAAGTCAGGCTGAAAATCTAACTCAAGCCCCCCCCCCCCCCCCTGCCTTTGACCATTTCAACCCTAAAAAGTCAGAAGAATTGCATCGGTCATGCAGCAAGAAAGGATGCAACTGCCTTTTACGGTATCAATGGACGTCGGTTACTTTGAAAGGCACTGTAGAGAAACCCATGGTCAACTAGCAGCCTTCCAGTAGCAACAACACAGGGATCAGACGAACACACGCTACTTACATCCAGAGCTTCCAGACCGTCACTGACTTCTATTTCGTCAAAGTGTGATGTATCGGCATCGTCCTCGACTTCTGGAACGTATGGCGGCCGGCCTTTAGTTACACAAAGAAAACAGAAGCTGGGTGAGAAGAAAGGGTATCTCTAGCCCACCCACCCACAGAAAACAGAACCTTTGCAGAACAACAACAGCAACAACAAGAAGCATCTCTTATTGGCCACAGGCCATCGTGAGAATAAAGATTTCAAACAACAAATCTCCCAGCAACTGATACTCACTGAGATGGATCTTGTCCCAGTCAACGCCTTCAAAGAACGGATGCGCTTTGAAGTCCTTTACACCAGAGTTACCAAGTCGCTCCTTCTTATCACAGATAAGCCTAGAGAATCACACCAGCACAATAATAGACACGGTGTCAGTCAAACTAAACAAGACACTTAACATGAAGAGAGTTGCCAAGAGAACACAAGTCCCGACAAAAGATCACACGGAAGTAATTACGGTATAAACAGAAGTGGTAATTAATAACTATTCCCCCCCCCCCCCCCCCCCCCCACACACACACACACAGTGAAGTATCCTCGCCACACCAAAAACACCATTTAAAAAAAGAAAAAAAGAAAAAAGGAACACAAAAACAAAACACAAGCTTGATTTGGGTTGCTGACTTCCGTAGACTCCAGGGTCAGAGAGAAAAAAGAAAAAAAAGATAGATCATGTTCCCGCCCGGGATCGAACCGGGGACCTTGTGCGTGTGAAGCACACGTGATAACCGCTACACTACGGAAACATCAGACACTCAACTGAAGCTGTCAGCAGCATAAGTGCGAACACCTGCTTGTAGGGCTGAGTAATCTGGTATTGGTAATGGCGGTGGGTTGACATGATCAAATCATCAGGAAAGATGCGCCTGTCACAATACAATGATGTTTGTTGAATGCAGCGCATGCATGTACCGGTATGCTAGTGGACTCCTTCACTACTAGGGACAATAACTACCAGCATGCAGGTGATACAGTTTGCTTGAATAGTCCAGAAACTAGAAAATCAAGTACATCATGACATGTACAAACAAAACACTTCAGGCAGCAGCAATGCACTCAGAGGCTTCGCCTGGCCAGTGTTTGTGAAAAGCAGAGAGAGAGAGAGAGAGAGAGAGAGAGAGAGAGAGAGAGAGAGAGAGAGAGAGAGAGAGAGAGAGAGAGAGAGAGAGAGAGAGAGAGAGGGCCAAGGTGTGCTTGTGTGCAGTAGGCTACAGTCAACTGTGCGTGTAACGACACTCGGCGGAGCATCAGAAAAGTCTCCTTATTCGCGAAGTGTCCTTATACCCGAAGTCTCATTATACGTATTACAATTAGATGGGACTTTACTCTGGGCATGGAAATTCTGTCGTTATATCCGCAGTCGTTATTAGCGAAGTTGACTGTACATGGACAAAGCACTCAACTCACCTGTGGATAAGATTACGCACTGTTTCCGAAGCTTCGTCCGTGCCAACATCCTCAGGAAACGCAAATTGAGTCTGGAGAAGAATACGGGGAGTAACAAATGTCCAGTCAAAAAGAAAACTGCCTATTAAAGGACTCGGTCACACTTTGTCAGAAATGCTGCGTCAGCGTCAGAATCATGAGTTTTCCATGGCAACTGACGAAAACGCCGGAACTTTGAGCGTCAGACGGGCGGCTGCATTGACGCTGCTGGTGCATGCACTTGCATGAAGAACAGTGTCTTTTGAAAAATAGCGTACGCACCGTACTCTATCGTAGCGATTTGGTTCGCCACAGAGTGGTTTTGTGAAGTGTGTCAGGCAACGACGGCAAAAGCAAAAATGTGTGACTGCACGTCAGCGTCAAGTGCTGGGGTTTGACGCTGCGTCCAGCATCAAACTTGCCGTAGTGTGACCGAGGCCTAAGCTTCGTCAGAAGGGCAAAGAAGCAGGCGAAAAACTCCCGTGAAATGCTCACTCAAACCACAGTCGTGATCGGCTCAAACATTCAAAACATGTCAAAAAAAAGGAAACGAGCAGAGCATCACAGTTGGGCCTACTTTTGCCAAATATCCGAAGCGCACCCACAAACAGTTTGGTCTGCTTGCTTTGGGATCTTGTTCAACCAGGACGGAATGATTGTATCCAGCTTAGAGCGAAGAGACCGGTATGCAGCTGTAGCTCTCCCACAAACTAAAAAGTAGTATACTGTATTGGAGAGCTACGCCTGCCATAACGTCTTGATGAGGACTATACTAGGCCAAGGCCAAGTGAGTGTGGCGTAGCACATGGGGAAACAGTGGGTGTGTTCGATTACCGCCATGAATCAATTCATAAACGGAATCTCGTCGTTCGATGTTATGTCATGAGCCCTGGAATCGGTTCGTAATCGATTCATCCTATTCACATCGGGTGATGAGAACAGTCAGGGACGATTCATGAATGGATTCAAAATCGATTCTCGGGCAAATCGAATGCACTCAGTGGAAGAGTTGCACATTGGCTCGCTGGCTTGCATCATTGCATGCACGTGCCACCAACTGGTCGAAGCATGTACACGCGTGGCATCCGGTGAGTCAAAATAACTTACAACTTCGTGGCCTTTTTTCAGTCGTACTACAGGTTTGACTCTCAAACCCGATTCCCATCACATTTCCGAAATCTGATAGTTAAACAATAAACATCTATTTTGGGTTCCCTAAGTACAAGTATCGGCGGCAACCTACCTTGTAGTTCATGATCTTGCCATAGGTCTCAACAAGTGACTCGGCATAGAATGGCGTCTCACCGATGAGCACTTCATACGCGACAATGCCAAACGACCACCAGTCACACTCCACACCGTAGTTCCCCTTGCCGTCCTCCATGGCGCGGAGGATCTCCGGCGATATGTAGTCAGGTGTGCCGACGGCCACCGGCGAGCTGACCATGCCGTTCTCGTCCAGTCGCAGGCACGATCCAAAGTCGGCCAAATGCAGATGGCCGTGTCGATCCAGCAGCAGGTTGTCCGGCTTGATATCTCGATGCAGATAACCCAGCTCGTGAACACAGTTTATTGCCAGGATCATTTCAGCAAAGTAGAACTTGGCCATCTGCTCGTCCAGACGGTCATCGAAGCGACTAAGCAAGGTTAGCAGGTCACCGCCAATGTAATACTCCATGACCAAATACTGAACATCAACAGACACCGCACAGCACCACCAGCAGCAGAAGAACAGACACAATGTAATTAATGCAGCACTGTGGCAACCACATTCAACCAACTGTAAAATTACAACCGTAAATAACTCCACAGACTGAAACTACCACATACAGGCAGCACACACAAGTCCAAGGGCGGGGTGAGGTGATTTGGTTGCATACGCACCCTCTCTCAGCCTCATACTTCCTCCAATCTCAACATGAGTATCTAGCACAGAATACTCAGGTGTTGGTACACCCCTACCTCCCTTCCAAGGCATGGAGCCATGGGTACGTCATAGTTGCAAGCTTCCACTAGTACTAATACATATTTCCTGCTATTTCAGTTGTCTGATGATTGCCTAGCGGCATGAAACTCAGAGTTACAACCAACCTGAACGTCCTCCGCTGAGTCTGCTATGTATTTCCTGCTATTATATATAAACAGGAACAATAATGCACGCTGTGCATAATACATCTTGAATAACTCGAGTAATCAACTCACCAAATAGTTGACATCTTGAAAGGCAAAATGCAGCTGCGTCAGCCAGCGCGAGTCACCATATACGAGAACATCACGCTCTTCACGAAAGCATGCCGTCTACAAACACAAGAAGTGAACAGATAAAATAGGTTTTCAATCGCTGGAGGGGGGGGGGGGGGGTAAGAACACTGAAGAAATTCGAACAATGGAACACAGGCCAGTCATAGTGCATTACGTCAGCTTACACATGCAAATGAACAGGAATCAATTTCCATATTTATTTTCAGACAGATGGCGAGCCCTTCTGTGAAGCTCTAAGTAACAGTTGTTTCCACGCCGCAAGGCCCTTACCTCTTGCCGTTTCAACATGTCCCACTTATTAAGGATCTTCATCGCATAAATATTGCTTGTCTCTTTGAGTCGGACAAGTTGCACCTACAGTATGTATGTGTGTGTGTTCACAACAACAACAACAACAACAACAACAACAACAACAA